CACATTCACAAATACTGCCAAATCCAAATGTGCAGATTACTAAGGACTGCTTAAGCTGACCTTAAATCACCCAGAAACTGTTCTGTTGCTTTTGTCCTTTAATGAAGACTGGTGGCTGACTCTTCCCCCTTGTCATTCTGCATCAATGCAGTTCACTGCTCTGTCTAGAAGAGTGGTAGTTTAAATTACGGACACTGATTTTTATTTTATTTTTTTTTCCAGACAAGGATAGAATATTTGTCACAAAGATAAAACATTTTTATGTGTACGGAGAGTTAAACTGCATCTATAGATCAGTATTTACTGCTTCAAATGTGCTATAAAGATAAAACACATGCTCAGTTTTGTGAATCAAGTCCAGGATGTTAAGTTATATAAAAGTTTGGTAGAAACAACTGTTTGTAGGTGTGCCTGTGGAGTCTCAGATTTAAATCTATCCGATATTCCTATTCCAAAGTTTTAAATATTTTATAGATGTACATCAGATGTGGAAGCAAGATTTTGAATTTATAAATTCATTCATTGCTTTCTCCAATTTTTTTTAATTTTTTTTTTTTTTTTAATCCGTTACATTCACTGCTCAGGAACTTTGATTTGGAGTCTAGAAATCAAGGTAGATTTAATGCTAAAAAACGGATGCAATTTTTAATAATATTAATTTTTGTTTTCCTTTACTTTGAGGTTTTGTGCTAACAAGATGTCTTCCCATGTGTGTAACTACCTGGAGATGAATACTTATTTAATTTTTCCATGAGGGAGAATAAAAAAAAAAAAATCTTGAGAAAATGAGCTGTATTTTAAGAAATGGGAAGTCTACTTCTAATGTTAAGGCCTGACCCAATGCAAAGTTACTTGGCAGAGACAAAGGAGCATGCATGGGTTAACCTTTTACAAACAATCTGTAGAGACTAGCAGTCTTTGTAAAGCTGTCTTGCTGTTGTGTGACTGGACCAGCTTCAGTTAGTCAGAGGCCGTTTTGCTGGTCATTTTCTACCTCATCCCAGCCTGCTCTGTGCCTGAAGCCCTGAGGCTGAGGTTCTCTGAGGGTATCTTCAGTCCTTGGATGCAAGCTCGCTAAGGCTGTGCTGTGACAAACCATATCAGCAGGTCTCTGTGCCCAGCAATGTGGAATCCTCTTCATAGCAAACTAATTTGGTTTTAAAAAAATCTTCATTTTGAGGGTGCCAGAGCACTGGCACAGACTGCCCAGAGGCTATGGAGTCTCCACTTAAGAGATCGTCCAAAGCCCCCTGGATGGGCTTGGGCATCCTGCTCTGGATGTTCCAGGTAAAGGAGAGGGACTCTGAAGCTCCAACCCCAAACAGACTGTGGTTCTGTGATAAAGGAGATATACAAGGCAGTTTTGAGATAACTTGGCTACCAAGGCATCATTCCTAATGTTTGAAAACCTCTCAGCTAACAGGGGATTAATTCTCCAGGCTCTTCTGTGTTCCCTCCATCTTGATTTTTTTCGTGTTTTTTTTTTTTCCCCTCACCTATATTCTGTAACATAACATTCTGTCTTCAGTTCACTGTTACTTTTTGCAAGCACAGACAATGTATTGGGCAGTGTAGGCTACTGAGTGTGATGTGTCTTGATGGATGGCATGCAAGAAACAAGGCTTCTGGCGCTGGAAGTTGGCATCTACTTTGGCCAACATCCCACGTGTATCTCAGCCTGCTCCCTAATGCTGATGAGCACCGTCTGTGGGCTGTGTAACGAAACAGAGAGGCTCTAATTATGTGATAGTCTGCTGGTACTGAACCGTAAATGGCATCCTGGCAGTGTAGCAGCGGAAGGCTAATTGCTAATGAGGCTGGCCCTGCAGTATCGCAGATGAGCAGAGCTGTAACTTTTTACTGACTACTTGAAGACAGGTCATGGGTTTACAATTACCTCTGGCTCTGAAAATATGGAAACTGCCATACCGCTTCTATTTCAAAGGATTTTATCCTGCTTCCCCTGAAATTGTAAAAATTGCTTCACAATTGGGCTTGGCGTGTCCTTGGTGCTTATTTTTGGTCATTGCAGATGTAAGTACTTTCTACGCTTTTTATTTCCATGCTATTTGACTACCACTAAGTGAATGTGCAGCAGTTAAGCTCATATTTATTAATGACCATACATGGTCTGACCTACTTTTTTGTGCATTACCAGCAGTGAATATAACCCCTAGGAAGAGAGATGAGGAAACCACCAGAAAGCGTAGTATAAATGATTCACAAAAGAATATATAATCAAATACTGTTCAATAATATTGCAAAGTCAGATCACTATAGCTACTGAAAAAAGCGAAGAATGAATTTTTAATAAATACACGAAAGGTGCTATTTAGAAGGTGGGGAAAATAGCAAACGTTTCTTTGTTCAAATTAAAAATCAGTCAGTTTTTTCTTGTTAGGAAACAATTGTTCTATGCACTTAAGTAGCATGATTTTTAGAATTGTAAGCATCTTGTAGTTACCCTAAGAAGATTTTGTATTGCAGTCATTCTACAAAAATAGTTTTTCACAAGAGATTTAAAGAGAAGTTTGATTTGTAAGGGCTGTTCATTTTTCTGATGGTTAATTCCCCAGATATGGGATATCTGGGGGAAAAGAGAGTTGTAGCAAATCTTATTTGATCCCTGATCCTGTGTTGCTGCAGATACCTGTTCGTTACTTTCCCTTTATGCTTCCTTCAGGGAGCCTTTCTCAAAGGTGATTTTGAAAGGTACAAGCAGAAGAGTAATAGTTTGCTCTGTGAATAGTTGCAGGTTGATGGATATCTTGCATATTCCTCTGCATCAGTGCCAGAGGGGATGTTTGCCTAAAAGTTCAGTCAGACTCCTTGTAAACAGCCATTGCGATGTTCATGGAGATAAGAGTGGTGCAGTAGAAGATGGTGGGTGCTCTCCAGAGTTGACCCTTCTACTTCAATCTTGCTCAGTGTGGGCAACTCAGGAGTGCATAGAATAGCTCTGAGCCTTGCCAGTGGGTAAGAGAGAGTACAGTGATGAGATGTGTCCAAAAAGCTGGTTCTCAGTCATTTGTGGGCACTTAAATGTTTTAGCCTTCATAGTCTGCGGCTGCTGCCAGGAATATCAGGCTTCCAAGCTAGATATTGCAGAAGCTAAAAAGATGTTCCACTGAGCAGATGCAGACTCTGAAGTTTAATCTGTGAGGTATACGGAAATTTTGAAAAGCTGTAGGCTTGCAGTGAGAAAGAAATTACTAAATTTGAACTTGTCAGATGAGTTGGTCCCTTACTTGCATACATGCAGAGAGCTTTTGTTGTGGGCAGATGGACCATCAGCATTCAAAGTCTCTCTGTCCTTAATAATTGTATTTTAGGGGTGCGGATGTGTGGATGAGGAGAATATGCTTGTCTGATGCTGATTCAGTTTTCAGAAAATAAGTCACAAACAACTTAACTTTGGATAAAATATATTACCTAATGGGGGAAAAGGTGGTGACAAGTGCTCTCAACTGAGCTCTAAGCCATTCCCTTGTAAGGAGGAAAAATAATACAGAGGTCAGCTGAATTAGCTTTAGTTTGAAATTAGTACTTCTGCGCCAATTCTGCGTTAATGTCTGGCTAAGGCTTTTTTTGTTAGCAAAGAGTAGTTATTCTGAGAAGACTAGCAAAATTTCTGTTAAAGACTGTGATGGTATGGTAATGAAAGTATGCAGAATCCTCACCAAGTGAAATAAAAATTTGTGAACTGACTTTCTGCCCTAATTTGAGAGCTCCAGTGCTCTTAAATCAATGTGTTAGCTCTAATGATGTCTTTCAGTTCCTTCTTGTGGTCAAGTATTTACTTAAAGTTTTGGTAGTTCTTGTACATTCTCACCCTGCAGCATTTCTGCTTCTTAGAGTGATGCATGTAGGTTCCCTCAGCTTCTTCCTACAGTTATCTGGGTTGATATCTAGTTTATCAAGCTGTGCTGTCAATTAGCTAAGTCAGAAGGTTGTGGACAAACTAGAGTTTTCTTTAGAAAGACACCACAAAAGTTGTGAATTATAGCTTCTGTAAGAACTCTATAAACATGGTTATTTACGGTTTTCACTCAGACTAGGGAGCTGCTTGTTTTAGTAGAATTATAGTCAAATATCCATTTTAATAGACTTGGAATAATTTAGCCCATCTAGTCCAAACCCCTTATCAAAGCAGGGTTATATGTGAAATCAAGCTAGGTTGTTCAAGCTTGTATCCAGTCTCCAAAGGTGGAGACTGCAATGGTGCAACTCTGGCCAACTTGCTTCACTAGTTAACTGTTCTCAAAAGTTTTCCTTGCATCAAATCTGATCCTCTCATTTTAATTTACGGCCAATATTTCTTGTCTTTGACCAAACATTATTAGATTAGCCCTGCTCCATCTCCTCGATGGACCCCTTGAGGTCCTGGTGGGAGGGTTGGTTCCTCCCAAAGCCATACCTACCTGATGCTGAACAAGTGTGGATCATGCAGCGTCTGCTCAGAGGACAAGTGATCCAGTCCTACCAGCCAGGATGCTCTTCCCTGGACTTGTTTGTCTTGGTGGGCTCAAAGATGGGGTCAACATTCTGCTTGTGGTCTATTATGGTCTGCTTTGATTTTTGTGCCTGAGGTATCACTGACAAAACCAGTTCTGGAGTCTGAAACATCAACCTCAAAGACAGAACTTATATAAATAATGAACATTATAAAGACCATAATAAATAACTAGAAGAACAGCTAAGGAAATAGTTGCTCTTCAGAGATGGCTTCTCTTGGGCTAAACTTAGGCAGCTGCAGATAAAACAAGGTGCCATGGAATAAAGGCTGTGAGTAGAAGACAGGAAACCTTGTAAGTAATTAAATTTGGTATTACTCTTTACCCGTATTTATGATGAATGTATACAACTGCCCTGTAGAAGTATGATAGTATGTGGTCTTAAGCTTGTGTCATTTGATGATGATTCTTCCCTTTTCAGTTGAAAAACAAGTTATGTCATTTGCTATTTAAACATAATTTTTACTTTTCTTTCTCATTTTTCAGTAACAATGACAAATATTGGAGAAAAAGGTAAGATTTTTCTTTGCTGTTTATAAGTGGAATTCATATATCAGGATAATATAGTAGTTTCTCAGTAAATTGAGATGCACATCTAGTCAGCTTTAAATGAGTTTTTTTTATGTTCCTCAGCTCCCTTTGTTATGCTGTTACTGCTTTTGCCATTCAAAGTAGAGATGAGAAAAAGAGATTCTTATTCTTCTTACTGACTTTCTGAGGAGGCAACAAAAATAACTGTCATGTTCTGTTTTGAACAACTTTTTTTTTTTTTTTTTTTTTTTAATTCACAACAGGGTAAGCACATGTAAAATGAAGACTCCTGAAAATAAGCAGTGTTTGTGCAGGGTACAACATAACATAACTGAGAGGTGAATTTTTTTCTTCAGCTTCATTTTAGCCAGTATCTTTGAATTAACAGGACCCTTAAGATATGTAATCCTTCTAGAAATTAACAGGACTGCCTGATTAGCTATCACTGGAGCTCCTTCCCAGAGTCATTGAAACTGCTTTTCCAGCTGTTATTTTAAAGCTATATTGCAACTTGGAAGTGCAAAGTGTGGGGCCATAGAGCTTGTAGAGCAGGGGAATAGGGTTATGAGGCAGATGGTGTGCTGCTTACACTTGTGTAGTTTCAGCAGGCTAAGTCATTTGAGACTCCCTCGCTTAGTACAGGCTTTAGCTATTAAAGAAATATCTGCTTGAAAAACATTTTTTTTTCTGTACAGTGATTTTCTCCATGTGTGGTTTATGAGTGTATACCCACAAACTTCAGCGCCTGCAGACTTTGAGACAGCTGCAGCTTCTTGCTGCTCCTTACCAAAAAAAAACTGAAGGCCCGCGTGTTGTTAGGCATTGCCTGCAAAGCAAGTTAGGATTATCAGGAAAAGACATTGGAAAACTTTATTTTTAGCTGCTCAGAACCTTGGGAAAAATTTCACCTGGCCTGTAGTCTTTTCTGAAGTGAGAGCTGGGTAGGTGTGAATTGCTCTGTATTACAGTGCTGTAACCTTCCAGGCAACATCAGCTATGTTTAAGTGGGTTATTCTTCATGTGAGGGGTACACTTTTCCCTTTGTTTTTTTTTTTTTTTTTAAAGGAAGAGTGTAAAATGGAAGTATTCTGCCTGAATGCTGTAGTAGCAGTGGGTTAGACTAGGCTCCATTGCAGCATGGGAAAACGGTTGCTGGGTGAACTGGGAAAAATGATGTATCAGGATCTTGGCCATATTGAAAAACTGAGGTGCTTGGGTCTTGTGCAGACACTAAAGGGAATAATGTCCTTAGGCTATTTTTTCTTCATATGTATGAAAAAGAAACTAATCACAGTTGCCATTCTTGCAACAATAAATTACAGTTGAAGATTAGTAAATGCATGGTGTACCAAACTGATGGAATGCCCTGCATTGCTCCCATTTTATACCATGAATGTACTGTTTGAAATAATACTTTGATTGAGAGAATCAGGATTTTTTTTAGAATTGATAGAAAAAAATGTTCTGCTAAAAACATGGGCTGTTTCTGACAGATGCTTGTACAATAGTGAAGTAGTTATTTAGTGTAATCTGTACAATAGTGAAATAGTTATTTAGTGTAATCTGGGATGTTGTGGTTGTTCTGGGTTCCAGATTTATTCCTGACTTGTGCTGATGAGATTGTTTTTCTTTTTATAAATAGGACATATGGTACTGTGTAGTGCTGCTCTTCAGATTTTGTTGGCTTTTGTTTCTTATTTTTGTAACTGTCTGGCAAATGAGAATAAATATTTACCATGTTGCCACTTCTTTTGAATAAAAACATTAGTACCAGAAACATATATTCAAGAGTTACTCTGGAGGCAAAACTACAAAAAACAAGAACACTCAGCACTGCTTTTCCTTCTCTTGTGTACAGCTTCACATATGCATTATAGAAAACTCTCTAACACTGAATAGCCACATATATGTAGGCTAACTTTGGAGATAGACTGCGTAGTGAAAGTGCACAGGTCTCTGTTTACGATGCCTTTTGACGATCTTATGAGTTTACAGCAGCTGCATAAAGAATATGTGAGAGCTGTAGAATCCATGTTACGTTGTGCTCAGCATAATCTGGGTTCATCTGTACAACAGGGAAATATTTTGTACTGCTGTGGTCCTAACTGTCCTTTATTTGCCAATTCCGTACCAAGCAAGGAGAGCTGAAGGAAATGTTCCTCCTTGCATACTAGAGCAAGTAAATCAGAGAACACAAGTTTTGGAGTTAGCATTCACTGTAGTGAATTGATGGCATCGTTGGTGATTTCCTGTACTAATGTGTAGAATGATTGGTACATATGGTGAGAGCTTTTGAAAAGAAACAAATATGGGTCCATGGCAGGCTCTTTGAGTGGATGTTACATTCTGTGTTCTTGTAAAACAGACCAGCATGGTAAATGTTGCCTGGCTTCTGTGGGTTTCCTTTCTTTCTTTCTTTTTTAAGTAAATCTCTGAATATATCACTTGTTGTGAAGAATGTAAAGTAGTGAGCACTTTAATTTAAAGAACTTGGAGGGCAGCATGGCTGTTTCTAAAAAACTCAATCTTAAATATCTAGCAAAACATGTTGACTAGTTTTGGTTACTATTCAGATATCATATGCACCCTAAGTCTCCTTTAATTCTAGTTGTTTAGATATTATAACACCTTCTTGTTTTGGTATCTGTAATTACCAAGTGATTTATGAAACAGAAATCAATTAAGTAAGACTTAACCAATGTGTAAAGAGTGAGTGCTTGCTTGGCACTTAAGCTGTTAACAGTTCCCCTTAAACTTCTGAAATACGTGTAGCCTGCATAATGGCTTTCCCCATGCAGTCTGTATTTGTCTCACGTAAAGTTGCAGTGCAGTATTTCTGTTGCAGAGCTTTTGCAGAGCTTCTGTATTTACATCTGTTAAAGCAAATACCTGTGGTATGTATCATATTTGTCTGCAAGTACTAAAATATCACTGGTCTGTTGGTATTAATTCTGTTCCTTTTTGATTTTAGTTGTGTGCCTGGTCGCTTACCACATATTTTTCATGCTGTTCGTCTGGTCATATTGGAAAACAATCTTTACTCTACCAATGAATCCTTCAAAAGAAGTAAGATAAACTTAACTTTCATTTCTGGAATAGCTTAGTCAAGTGACTGATTTTGTAGCATTTGAATAACTTGGTCTCTGATCTCATGTGGTTTTTCACGATAGAAAGATACAGCTAGAAATTACAGCTTCTTATCAGAAATAAATCAGTTTGCAAACAGCATCTTAACAAATAAAAATAAAAAGACATCTCTAAATGTTGAAGATATTTTAATTAATTTTAAGATGAGATAGTATTTATTACATTAGAAGAAAAATCCCTTCAGTTTAAAAAAAAAAAAAAAAAGGTGTTATTTGAACTAGCAGCTTAAATCTCTATAGGGCCGTGTATTTTTATGTGGAAAAAATATTTTCTGTGTGCTTAAGACGCATTTTAAGTTGCCTGTCAGCATTTGTCAGTTGTCCTCTAAAAGCAAACTGCTACTACATCTGTTTGGATATGAAGAAATTTGACTGTGGCATGGAGCACCCAGTCAGGCAAGCTGAGGTGGGAAGCCATGGCTGACTAAGCAGGAGGCAAGAAGTATAGAAAAGCTGCGTGGAAGGAAGGTCTAAGGTTGATAGATACCCCCCCAAATCAAAGTCCAGTTGGTATAGAAATGTTCAATGAGAAAGATGTAATTGTCTTGAAGAATATTAAGATACCAATTATGTTCAACATCATATATCCTTAAGGCAGTTGCTTTTAGGTCTGTGACACTGATTTTATATTAAAAATATACATATATATCTTCATAGTCTTAATGAAGTTATTTCCCCATGCAGCTTGATACAAGCAAAATAAGCATTTGGCCTCTTCTGTCCTGTCTCCATGCAGACACACCAGCTTCCTTAGAAAGTTTCACAGAATATCTCAGCCAAGAGGAAACATTCTATGGTTATTTTGGAGTTTGAAATGCCCACGAAGCCATTACTTCTTTTGGACTCTTTGCTTCATCTTCTACAGCTACCATGCCAATGTGATATAACCAGGCTGTGATTTCTACAGTTGGTTTTGCAGAATAATTTTCATTCACTAAAAACAGAAATAGCTGTGAAGACAAGTAGACAATTCAAGACAGTTAACATCTTCCTTGAATTTCACACTGCAATCTTTACTACATCTTGGAGCAGAGAGCAGAAAAATAACTTAAAAATTAATTTCATTTACTTATTATGTCACAAAAAATGTGCATGTACATGGTGACTATAGTGGTAAATCAGAAGGCTTTGCTAGTGTCTGGTCTGCTGTCAGCAAAAGACTTCCAAAACATCTTGACAAATCCTCAGTAATTATGCTGATATTTGAAAGCCACCAGAATGTTACCCAAGCACTTCAAATAGCATATTAAAAGTAGTGAAGCTAGGTAATGGGAAGCAATGTGTGATGTTTTTGTGTTCTTTGAATTTACACGGTGCTGCTGACAAAGTGACATCTCATGTTGTTCCATGTCTTCTTGCTAATCCGCTAGGGCAATATTTTATAAATTAATTAGCCTGTTTTGTGATGTTAAGTTACTGTTGGCTTTCAGTTTATGGGATAAAGTCTGTACATGCAAGTGGATACACCTCCATCTTATCTGTCAACTAAAGCAAAATCTCATTTGAAGACTAAAGCTTTTGAGAGTAAAGCTTTTGAGTTTTATTCTTGTGAATACAGCAGCTGGTGTAAACCACACAGCCTGCAGGCTACTTTTTAAGTTTGTATCAAATTTTACAAGTACAAAAGAAGTGTTAAAGTATCCGCACTGTGGATGTAATTGAAAATATTGTTAACCTGACACTTCTGAAGTTGAGTGTGTTATCATTATCCCTCCCATACTAGAGATCGTTGCCCTGAGTAACGCTTCAAACACACACAGTACTGTGCTACCCTAACTACTTCAGGTCAGGCTGTGCCATTCCTTACCTGCATGCACCAGCTGTATGCAGGCATTGTGTGGCAGTGGGAAAGAAGATTAAAATCAATTTAGATGTTAGCAACAGGAGTGCATTCTTGCTAGTTAGAAATGGAAGGTGATCTGAGAGGCTCAGGCTAAAATGTGAACCACTATCTTCTACTGTAAGACCACGATATCATCGGGAAGGTAGAGTGATACCTTCTCTATGAAAGTGAAAATGTGCTTTTTTGGCTTTACATGCACTACTTTCATTTAGGAGGAAAAAAAAATAAATCATGTTACTGTAGTGACTAATTCTTAAGCCTTTCTGTAGACATAAATGCTAGTGATACCAAGGACTTCCGGATTTGCCCATTTCAAGAAGCTGCAGCAACAATGCTGGCTGTGATGTGATGCAGAGGACTTAGAAGTACAGCAAATTTGGGCTACACTGCACATCTCTTTCAGTATTTGTAACCTCTTGGCAGAGCTGTGTTTGTCCTTGCCACTTCCAGCAGTGACAGTTTCATGCAAGAGGTGTTGAGATTCAGATTCTGCCATGCAGGATACCCAGCTCTTCCCTGTTTCTAGCTAGGCTGAGGTAAAACCACATCCTAACGTCATCATAACAGCCACTCTCCAGTGACAGAGGGTAAAAGGGAAAATGCCAGAAACCTGAGAAGAAATTCATCTATCTTTTCTGGCATTGCTAGCAGCATATTTTCTTTCAGTTGAACTCATCCCTAGCTTATATTCATTATCTAATGTTTGGTGTAATGGAAGCAGGTTAACTACTTTTCAAAGGATTGGTAATTAAATTTGATTGTGCTAACTCTTGATCCTGCCCTTGATGAGTGTCTCTTAATACTTCTGGGAGCATTGAGCATTACGTCTATACTAAGTCAGAAATTATTTTAATTTTGTCTTGCTTCAATAATTAGTCAAAAAATGCCATCAACTAAATTAATGCTCTTAGGAACAATTTGTTATTTGCTGTAATACCTTGTACTTGCTGCTAATCCACCTTTATATAATGAATGTTTCTTTTTACATCTCTACAGGTACTTAACTTGAAATTTTCTGATTTTTGTCTTTGGTTTTAAAAATTATCTCAGTTTCATCTGTCATACTCGGACAAAGAATCCCTAGAAAGGGAGCCAAGAGGTGAATCCCAGCAAGAAGTCTTACGACGAGCAGCCAAGGATCTTCCTATCTACACACGGACAATGTCTGGAGGTAAATGGGTGTTCAGGAGACCATGAAAGGCAGCTGTCATGGTATGCTTGGCTGCCTGAATTAATTTAAAAGGATTTGGATGGTACGGAAGAACTCCCTTTCATAGTTCATAAACCTAACCTTAATGTAGTTCTATGCAGTTATATTCATTCAGTAAAAAGTGTTGGAAAGTAAATTGCTGTGTACAGTTTCTCGTTTTACAGGGTACTGACAGTGCCTTGCTAAATGTTTGCAAACTGAAATTAGCCAATAGCTTGTAATATTAACAAAATACAGATGAAGCTGTAGTAGTTTGAACTGCATTGACTTAATGTCTTCGATCATGAGTTAAAAGTAATAATAACAAATTAATAATTAACTGTGTGTGGTATGTAATTAGACAGATCGCAGAAACAGTTTCTGTTTTACTTGGTAGTTATTCACTGAAAGAACAAGTGATATTGTAAGTTTGGGAATGTTTGAGACTAATGATACTGTAAGTTTGGGGATGTTTGTTAGTTGAGCAAATGTAGAAGATAATCTCATAGAATAAATTAAAGTTGTTAGAATAATAGCTTAAATGGCTTTTTGTTGGACCGTCTGGACAGGTTTTATGGTCTGGCTCTAGAAAGTATTTTGTGGGGTTTGATTGGTCGGTTTGTAGCACTTATTTGAGTATTTTTGAAAAAGCCCTGATTGGCATAATTTAGAGATTGCAAAAATAGTGTTTTCGCTTCGCTCTGCTAGATGCAGCAGTACCTAAAGGATACTTCAGGGTTTGCAAGTTCTTCTGATCTCACTGCAGCACTTTCCTGAGACCACAGCTCAGCACAGCTCTCAGGAAACAAAATGTGTGTTAAGATCTAATCTTGTGACTTTTTTCTTTAGCAATCAGGTACTGTGACAGATGCCACCTCGTAAAACCAGATCGTTGCCATCACTGTTCTGTGTGTGACAAGTAAGAAAACATTTTAAATGTGTAACTTTCCTGAATAATGGCTTTTTGGCTTGATGCAGAATTTTACTTGCAGAAGCTTTTGTTTTTTATTCTTAGATTTTTACAGGTTTAATGTTTCATCACAGAAGATTTTTTTTATCTTATTTTTTGTTTTTCAGATTTATTTTTAAGTTATTATTGGGGAAGCCTGTAATAAAGTCTGATTCATTTGATGACTTCTTTATGCCAAATTGGATTATATGATCTTACATACCATTTAATTAATGGATGACAATTATTAATAAGGAGCTTTCCTTAGGAATGTAACCAAAAGTAGCTGATTAAAATTTGCTTTTTTTGTTAGAATCTGAAAAAAGCCCACTACTCATCTCAATCTAATCATGCTGTCATTTACATCTTACCTGAGATAATAAACTTAATATCCTACTTTTTATTGGATAACTTGAAAGCTATTTCCGATTAAAGAAGGAAACAACTAGGTAGCCCCCTTTTCTAACTGAAGAAAGTTATTGTTCATTCAATGTGGAAGGAAGCTCACCTCCATATTCCCCCCGAAGTCTAATTACTCTCTTTGTCAGCTTTTATCCCTCTGACTTTTCTCCTGTTAGCTTTGATGTCTGTGGGCTTCTCTACTCTTGTGGCCAATTATCTGAATGTCCAAATTGAGGAGAAGGAGCTTCTTCAAAGACTGATTATTGTTGCCTTAAGGCTATTCCAAATACTCTTCAGCTGCTTATGTATCAGACCTTGCAACACTGCAGTGAGGCAGACCAGACTTACCATTTTGCAGAGGAACTGAAAGAGTTGGTGACTGAAGGCAGAAAGAGGATCTTGGGTGTGCTGCGTGTGGTTGTGACTGAAGTGTAAGAAAGGAAGATCCCCACATCTAAGCAGAAGAAAGTGTTTTCCCATGAAATGCCATTAGTTAATAAATTTTGCAGAATACCTTGATTTTGTCCTTTGAATTTCAATCGCTTCAGATATGTCTGATTTTTTTTGTACATGTTTTATTAATGCAGAGTGATTAAGTGCAAAAACATTTTGGTTTTTTTATACGTGATAAGTTCTTAGAATGCATACTTGGAAATACTTGGAAATATCCTTAGTTGCATCATTAAGTATGTAATAATTGAATTAGCCTAGTTTCTAAGTCTTTGGCAGAGAATAAATATTTGAAAAACTCATTCAGATAGGGGACCAAATCTTAAAACTGTTGCAGATAGAATGTTCTTGCATCACTAAGCTCTTGAAAAAGCAAGTGTTCTGAGTGCTTGTAGGTAAACTGTATTATATGAAAGTTTTCAAGTCCTAACTGCTTAACAAAGTAGGTAACTGATAATATGCATAGGTAATGCTGATCTGTACTGAAATAGTTGAATTCTGATACCTAACTGTGTTTCTGATTTTCTTTTTTTTTTTTTTTTTTTTTTTTATATATATATATTCTTTGAAATCTGTTCTTTTGGTGGTGGTGGTTTTTTTTTTTTTTTTTTTAATTTTTTCTTTTTAAGATGCATTCTGAAAATGGATCATCATTGTCCTTGGTGAGTGTATTACATGCTCTTGCTTTTTATTTTTTGATTTGGTAAAACAAATTTGTTAGGGATCATAGGTGGTGTTTCACCATCCCTAGAGCTGGATGCTAACATGAAATTACTAGTCTTGCAGGATAGTTGGAATTGTTTATTTTTTATACCCTTTGCGTAGTTATGAGATGTGAAAAGAAGTTTAGATACCATTTTTGTGTTCGGTAACTATTTCTGCAATTAGGGTAAGGAAGAATTCGGGTAAGAAAGAAAAATTCCTTTAAGAATTTCATATTTTTCTTCATGCACTTCAAATATTGTTGAGGACTTAATTTCTCTAAATGATGAAATAATACCCTAGGTTGAAAACCAAGTGGAAGTGCTGTGCCCTGCTTCGTGGAAACATCTTGTTAGCTCTTCAGTTAGAGGGTTCTTAGTTTCTTGCTTTCTTTTTCCTTCTCTTTCCCTTTCACTCTTCCTCCCTTTTGCAGCACATTGGCCTACAGAATATTTTTGTTTTCCTGCTCTTTCTCAGCAGCTCTTGGAACCAGTGAGTGGGGATATGGAATTAATTTGCTTCACCTTGGCAGGCATCTCACAGAAATTCCTAAAGACAAATGTTAGAAAGGTCCAAATTGAGAAGACTTTTAGTTTAAAAACCCATCTTTAGGGGTTCTTCAGATGACTTCTTTGACCAAAAAAAGTAAGGGTTCAGTATAGTAGATAGGTAAGCTTTTTTATTTATTTTTTTTCTTTTTTCTTTTTTTTTTTTTCCTGGGGAGAGTTGGGAAAGAACCCATGTGATGCTTAGGGGAGCAGGGAAAGAGTAATGGGAATTAGTGTTCGAATATTCTTCTAGGAGTAGGATTTCTGGAGAGGACAGGTAAGAAAGTGAGTAAGGGAAAGTAAGGGAAAGCATTTGGAAGGAGAGGTAGTAATACGGCAGAGATGACAGTTATGTTCTTGCCCCAGATCAGCCATTTCTTGATTTCTGGGAGGCTTTACTTTGCTCTACACTACTGTGCTAAAAGAAATGTAATAAATACAAATATGTAATGCTAATTTGCCTCCAAGCTACTGTAGAAGGTTTAATAGATGCAGAAATAAAGTCATTAGTGATTTCTGAGTGCTCTTGCTACCCATGTTATAGATGGAGCTGTAGACAGAAATATGATGGCTTGAAGCATCATCAGAAGATATAATTTGATAAATAACAGCTCTAATGCTAACAAGGTGCATTATGAACAATTTGGAAATTAAGAGAAACATATCTCCTCTGTCCTTTGAGTTATTTGAGAATAACTTACTACTCAATTTCATGATTCTTTCTGTTAACTGAGTTGCCTTGTAACTTACTTTTTTACCTGGCATTTCTAGTAAACAACCTCGTGAGTTAGAAAGGATCTATTTTCTACTTCAGAAGGAACCATTTTCAATTTTATCTACAGTCCAAACTGAACCTAGAATGTTCTTTTGAATAAATAGTTAACTGCAATAGAACACAGTTCTTTAGTGGCCTGCGTGCTAACAATTTTATCCATCCTCAAAATGTTAGGCTTTGTATTTAACCGCTGTTCTTGGTTTTTATGATTTGACACTGCATTTGCAAATAGAACAGTTACAAAACCTTGATGTTTACTTTCTTGTTTATCTTTTAGTGAAATATTCTTTTCCAGTAATAACTCTTCAGATTGGGACTTTGTCAAAAGTTAGAGAAGCAGGATGATTTATGAAAGTTTATTTTAATGTGCAAAAGAGCAACGAGAGAAATCTTTGATTCAAGAAACGTTGTTTTTGCTGAGCAACATTTCATATGACAGTTCTTTTCTCATGCTAAAAAGTGCCATAAATACTGTCATTAAAAAAAAGCCACAAGAGTAAACAGGGGTTATCATAGAAACCTTGAATCTGAATAGATTGCAGGTTATCACAGAATTGCTATCTTTGACATATATAATGAAAAAACACTTCGCTAGGGAGAATTGCACATTTATTTTCCAGTAAGAATCATGATGAACTTAGAAACATATCTTTTTTTTTTTTTTTTTAAATTATAACAATCTCTTGTGAGACCTACTCAATTGTCATTGATACAGGTGCTTAGCTATTGTTTTCTGTTTAAATGGTGATACTAAATTCAATGTTTACCCAAGATGGCATGTTTTGTTAAAACGACAAATAAAACCCCACCTCCACTGACTCGATGCATGGGTACCAGTGGTGTGTAGATAAAGGTCATTTGATGTTTTACGATTTTACTCTGTTCTAGTTACTGTTTATCCTGCTGCTAGCATCGGTATCTCTCTAAATAAGGGAATACTTGCAGTAATCTCTAGAAGCAGCTGAAGCCAAGCCTCTCAAAGCCTTTTTTCATTATTTTTTTTCCAGAAATATTTTTCAACTTAGATGCTTTTGTGGTGGTAATTTTCTCTTAATTATCTAATACTTCTAACAGTTAAAAAAGGAATGTGAAATTTTATTTATTTTAACTCTCTGGAGAATTCTGTCAAATCTAGCAGTGCAGTGCAGTGATAGGTTTTGTTAGCTTCTTCATGGAGCCAAATAACAGAAAAAGGGAGCTGTTTACCAATAAATTCTCCATGGGAACCCATTCAGTATTTTTCCTTAGGTAGATGTAATATCATTACGTGTTTGTAAGAGCTATAAAATTCATAATACTTAATATACTGGCTTTAATGGGAATCTGCTACAATACTAAATGAGCCCTCAACGTGTCTGTTTGATAGCATATGAGTAGCTCATTATCACATATAACTTCTTTAGAAACAGGAAGCAGGTGAACTTCAAGCCTGAAGAATGATAAAATGAGATTTATGTTAACATTTGGATGTATTAAGTTTTACTAATCTCTTCTTTTTGCTGTCATGTTGTCTCTGGTATGGAAAAATTTCTCTGTATTCAACAGTACTATTCCCCTTATTATACGTAAGTGTAACTGTAAAATATGGATACCTAAGCCTGTCTGTAAACTAGAAAAATAACTAACTTTTTTGTTATTAGGGTGAACAACTGTGTCGGATTCTCCAATTACAAATTTTTTCTTCTCTTCTTGGCTTACTCTCTGCTGTATTGCCTTTTCATTGCTGCAACAGATTTACAGTATTTTATCAAGTTTTGGACAGTAAGTACTAACTTTGTTTTTCCTTAAAATGCACAGAGCCAAATGTCAGGTTCTTGTTGTCAGTGTTTATATTGGCTCAAGAAAGGATCAGTTTCTTTAACCAACATGCTGTCGAAAACCAAATTGCATGGCTGTCTATGCATAAAAGGTGTATTGCTTATTTATTCAGGCTCCTGTTGCATGGTATGTTTCTGTCTGCTTTGAATTGGATTTGGGTGAATAGAGAATTATTAATAATTAAGTTAAATAGCTATTTCCTCATTTCTAAAAGCTTTTTTTTTAATTATTTTTAGAATGGCCTTCCTGATACTCAAGCCAAGTTCCACATCATGTTTTTATTCTTTGCTGCTGCTATGTTTTCTGTCAGTTTATCTTCTCTCTTTGGGTACCACTGTTGGCTTGTCAGCAAAAATAAATCGACTTTAGGTAAGCTTAATGCTTCTATGTTTGGCAGCAAAAAATAATGAACAGATGGCTATTATATCAAAACAGGTTTTAAGGCAGTGCTTCTACATTTGGTTGTAAGTAAACTCAAATATGTGAACGACAGGTTAGCAGTTACATATTCTGATCACCACATAGTTGTAGATGCACGGGAATGACTCTGCATTATGGATTAATTTTAAAAACCTCAGAGTCCTCTGCCTCTATTATGGTAGTATTTACAACTGTCAGATGTCATCATTAAACCAATATCTCCCACCACCCTGATGCGTGGTTGTCAAGTCACACCTGTCCTTTATTGTGTTGTGGATTGCAAATAAGAATATCAATTCACTAAAGTTTCTAGATCAACAGCTTTCTTGTTGATACAAGCTGAATAAGAATATTTTCTTATTTTGTTTCTTATTTTCTTTCAGTTTTCTTGAGGTTTACAAATTAGTAGATGAGAGGAAAACTTCTAAAGATGTTATTTGGAGGAAAACTTATTTACTTGAAGGCTTGTATAGGGTTTGTGGGTTTCCTCTGCATTCTGGATGACTTAAAGCCCTTGGGTAGGGAAACACTGTGGGAGCACAATTCACCTCGTGGATTGAGAGCAGTCTGTGTGAACTGTGCTGTCAGCACTGCAGGACCTTTATATAGCCTGCTATATATATGGCCAATTAGGGGAATTAAATGGCTATCAGTCAACATGTGGAAGGTGAAAGAATTTTCTGCCTGAGGCACTCTGCAACACTTGAGGCTATATTTAACTCTCTTCCCCTGAAATTTAGAGTGGATGTGCATGGGGAGTGATCTGGGCCTACAGGTAAAATGCTTTCTTTATGTAGCTGTAAAAGCATACAAAATGTTTGTACCCCAGAGTGTAAAAAGCTACTAACATAGGGTAAGCTTAATTTCTTTTCCATTGCTCTTACTGTAGTAAACTCTTAGTTCAGTCTAATTCTTTTCCGTGAGCGTTGTGGTGTATCCACATAGAATCACAAATTGCTCATGTTGGAAAAGACCTTAAAGATCATCAACTCCAACCTTCATGTAACACACCGTGCCATAAGGAGCAGGTTACTCACTCTTTCTCACCTTGGTCAGGGAGGAGGCTGGCAGGACACTTGCACCCATTCCTGCACACACAGCAGTGTGTAGCAGTGAGTGTGGATTCCATGAGCCAACTGGGTCATTTGAGCTGCCCAGCCATTCCTCTCTGCTGGAGATATAATTGCATGAAAATTGGTGTGAAGCTTGAATGTGCTATCTTGTGAAGAAATCTAACAGATTTTTGCTTTATTTTTAAGAGGTATTCAGAGCACCCATATTTCATCACAGAACAGACAAGAATGGTTTCAGCTTGGGCTTCAGCAAAAACCTAAGACAGGTGTTTGGTGACGAGAAGAAGTACTGGCTGTTGCCTGTATTTTCAAGGTACACACATTTGTTGAAACTGGGAGTGGGCCCAGGTTTTTGTTTGTTTAATTTTCTGAAATTAGATACGGTAATATTTGTTCTGGGAGGGAAAAAAAAAAAAAAAAAAGTTCTTCAAAGTTTTTTTGTAAGCACTAGGCTAATTCTGATTTTTATTTTTTTATTTTTTATTATTTTTCAGCCTAGGGGATGGTTGCTCCTTCCCAACTTGCCTTGTGAATCAAGATCCTGAGCAAGCCTCCACACCTGGTGGTCTTAATTCAACATGCAAAAAGTAATCTGCTTTTTGTTATTAGTTTCAAATACTTGGTATTCTGTTTTGTGCCAGTGCATGTATAAATTGAATCATGTTTTCTGTGTAGATTTTGCTATTAGGAGTACAAGTCAAATTTAACACAGCTAAGCTGTAATTGAGCTAAGCCTGAGACTTGTATTTAAATGTATGGAAGTAAGAGGGTTTTTTTCCTCCATACACATGTCCACTCTGTCTCAGCTCAGTGGCATCCCACGGCCTGTGAGTTTTCCATGCCTGCCTCAGTGGTGTCAGTATGTTCTGTTCTGCATGCAGGTGGTTAGTTCGTCTGCCTGATGGTGTTGCTGTGCAAGGCCTTTGGGGAAGGCCAGCTTTTTTGTATCTGGTGCAATATGGTTAGTGTACTGGAACCCAGACCTCAACGTTTCTGTATGATAGGAAGCCCTAAATTAGGGGGTGGAAAGGAAACTGTTTTCAGTTTACGTTTTCTGTTATTGCTGATAATCAGAAATATTTTCTTGACCTTTATCCTTCATGGCCACGGTGTCCTTAAAGTATGAAAAGCATGCAGATGTTCTTGAAACCAAATAAAAGTTTCACAATAGCTTAGTAAACTACATTGCAACTTTTTAGCAACATTTACATGACGAAGTGTGATGAGGATAGTAATATGAATATACTGACTAAAAAAGGATAACAGAATCATATTGGCAGTCTTTTATTCATATAACAAGTATGTTGCATTTCAGTTAGTTTTGCACTGACAGACCAGAAATGACATCCAGCTGAGAATGTTTTAAATCTTGTCCTAGTGACTGAGTCAGGGAGAAGGGAACCATAGCCTAAATATGGGAAGAGATTTTGGAGATGTTCTCTCTACTGTTATGGTGGCAGGTCTCTCACCATGGGAGAGAATACAGATAGAGCATATTTGGAACTAATGTGTATAAATATAGATTATCTGTCAAAGAAAAAATTATAAAGTTTTCTTGCTCTGTGCTAGAGAGTTGCTTTTGAGATTACGCTTGTACCTGTGACAACTATACTCAATATATGTAATGATAGAAGTTCAGTGATTCATCAGAAAATAAGCAAGGTAAAGGAAGTAAAATGCCATGTATGACAGACTGTTTGAAATGTGTGGTAAAGAAATGGAGTTTTACAGCAATGTTCTTCTTAATGTCATTACAGTGAGAACCATCTGTTCCCTGCAAAGCCACTACGAGACTCTCAGAGCCACCTCCTTACTGATACACATTCCTGGTCGGACATTGGTGCAAAGGCTGAAAAGGGCAAAGTTGGTAAGGAACTGATTTATGCTGCAATGCTTTGCTCCATAACAAACTACCTTTGGCAGATACAGTGTAAAAATGACAGTAGTCACTCTTTTCACATTTATTACAGGTGTTTCACTAAGCTTATTTTATACATTTGTAGAAGGTTGGACATTTCAAGCTGCCATGCCCTTCCACGTTGTCTCACTGCAATTTATAGGAGAGAGAGGAGGTTCTTTAATATCTGTGTACCTGGCGTGAGATTAAGAAACAATGGTTCAAATGTTGGTCCAACCAGTTTATTATAAATCCTAATCAGGGAGACGGGGAAGGGAAGGATGGCAACTATTATGAATTAGGGTCATGGAGAAGGGAAGGAGGGCAATAGAAAAGATAGGAAATAAGCAAGAATTGCATAAAATGGGGATAGTCACCAGCAGGATCCAGCTGCCGTTCCATTGCATGCCATCCCGATGGTCTGAAGCAAAAGTGCAGGGGAAGAGCAGCAGCAGTGTGGCCAGACTTGGGTAGTAAGCAAGTAGCAGGAAGAAGTCGCAGAACCAGCCCAGGGGGGAGAGTGGCGGGTCGTGAGGCTTCTCATGTCAGAAACCTCTTCTTCATGAGGAATCTGTTGCCAGAAACCCTTCCTATCCGTGAGGGAACTGTTGTCAGACCTCATGGTTGTTAGGTCCCCTTTTTATCCTCCTTCTGCCATTGTGGCATTCCTGGGCGCTTGGGTAAGAGTCTTGTGCAGCACCTCTTGAGATGGCCATCTTCCTCGAGATAAGCCCACAGAGAAGACTGCTTCCTGGCCATTAAGCTGCGGCTTATCTCTCTCTCCTTGCCCCTGGCCTTTTCCATCTGTGTCTCTCAGACAAAGGATTTTGCAGCCCAGGACTTTCTTGGACTTGAATCTGTGTCCCCAGCAAGCTTTGAGACAATGATGTGAAAGAATAATCTCTTACACAGGTTAAACCTGACAGAGAGGTATTGAGAGCACCAGCACTAGTTGGTACCAGTTAACATTTACCGTCAGGCTGGGAATTCTTCTGGGGACAAACATCTTATATATGAATATGATGATGCCTTGTTGCAAAAGCCATGTAAAACAAAAAGAAAACTTCTTTTCTCTTTAAAGGTATGAGCAATCCTGCGTTAACCATGGAGAATGAAACCTAGCTTCCCTAAAAAGACACATCTGAATATTTTAGGAAAGGTATGTTGATATTCTGTCTGCTTAATTTTCTGTTCCATCATTCCTTACCACTTGAAGGACGCACAGAAGTTCCTAAAATAATTCCTGTGTGTTTACTTTTCCTCTCAATTTGTTTTACCTTGAGGTAGGAGCACATGAATTCATGGTTTTAAACTAAACCTCTGATGGGTCATGATCACAAAATATTGTTTCACCTTTGCGCTCATTGCTTGTATTCCAAAATGTTGTCATTATCTATATAGAGAAAGGGAATAACATTTTGATTTTGTGAGCTGTTCAGGAAGTCTTTCTAAAGTTAGGTTTAAAACTGAAGTTACTTCTTAACACTGAACACAATAGATTTTAGCTTCCTCTGCTAGGCAGCTGAAGTTCTACTGGGTGGTGAAGAAAAAGTAGATTTGTTCTAAAATATAGAACTATTAGCAGATTGATCTATGCTACGTACTGAGCTGTATCCTGTGTAGTAATTTAAAAACTAATGCTTACTTTAGATAAATGGTTGTGTTTAAAAAAAAAAAAAAAAAGTTTGTTTGTTTCTTGCATTAATACCATTTAAAATAAAAAGCAAGTTTAAGAAGTAGCTAGCAAAATCTGTTCTGTAGAGAAAAAGAGGACATTTTAATAATAGAAAAGTGGGAGAATGACCATAGCTGATCATTATATTCCCTTTAGTATTTGAAGACTTCTAAGTCCACCAAGCCTGTGGAAATAAACTACTTCATGTTTCAAGTTAAATGAGGTTTCCATTTAAGACTCTTGCCCTAAAAAAATAAAAAATAAAAAATAAATAAATTCAGCATACTGGGTAATTTATGATTCTCCTATTGGAGGATTCATTACAACAAGGTCATTACCATCTCTGATATTGAAGACTTTTTGCATCATCCTCAAAAAGTGTCTCAAATGGATGTTCTTTGCTGGTGCATGACATGACTCCTGCACATGCTGTTAGGCTGCTTTGTAACTTATGCAGAAAGCATAAGGAATGAAAACCACTGGGGAAGTGCAACTATTGCAACTACCAGACAGACATGGTATTACACTATCACAACAGATGATAAGAATGGTAGGTGTACAAATACAAACAGGTGGCCTCTAGCTTCCTCTAGTAGGAAAAGTTCCCAGAAGTTCAGTAGTTAAATCATCGGAGAATGGTGGCCTTTTGTGGTAGAGTTACAGGGTCAGTGGATAAAGGAAGAGCAACTGACGTCATCTATCTGGACTCTGCAAAGTGTTTAACGCTGTCCTGCAGGACATCCTGGTTGCCAAATGAGAGAAAAATAGATTTGATGAATGGACCGTTCACTGGATAAGGAATTGGCTGGATGCACTCAGAGTTACAGTCAACAGCTCAGTGTCCAAATGGAGACTGAAGATGAGTGGTGTTCCTCAGGGATCAGTGCTGGAACTGATGTTATCTTTGTAGGCAACACGGACACAGGGACTGAGAGCACCCTCAGCAAGTTATCAGACAACACCAAGCTGAGTGGTACAGCTGACATGCTGTGGAGGGAAGGGATAGTATCCAGAGGGACCTGGACAGGCTTGAGAGCTGGGCCTGTGCCAAACTCATGAAGTTCAAGGTCCAAGCGCAAGGTCCTGCAACTGGGACAAGGCAATCCCAAGAACAAATACAGGCTGGCTGTATTTGAAAATGAGAATAGTTTGAGAGCAGCCCTGAGGAAAAGGATTTGGGATTGTTGGTTGATGAAAGACTCAGCATGAGCCGGTGATACGTGCTTGCAGCCCAGAGGGCCAACTGTATCCTGGGTCACATTGAGGGAAGCATTACCAGCAGGTTGAGGGAGGTGATTCTGCCACTGTGCTGTCATGAGACCCTACCTAGAGTCCAGCTCTGAGGCCCCCAACACAAGAAGGATGTGGAGCTGTTGGAGCAGGTCCAGAGGAGTGCCACAACGATTATCAGAGGGCTACAGAACCACCCCCCCTATGGGACTGGGGGATCTTCAGCCTGGAGAAGGCTCTGGAGAGGGGAACCATTTAGCAGCTTTCCAGTACCTGAAGGAGGCCTACAGGAAAGCTGGAAAAATGCTTTTCAGAAAGGCATGTAGTGAGAGGACAAGGAGAAATGGTTTTAAACTGGAAGAGAGTAGATTTAGATTAGATACTAGGAAGAAATTATTTACTGTGAGAGTGGGGAGACACTGGAACAGGTTGCCCGATGGAATTGTGGATGCCCCCTCCCTGGAAGCACTCAGGGCCAGGCTGGATGGGGCTCTGAGCAACCTGGTCTACCTGGGGGTCTCCCTACTTATAGCAGGGAAGCTGGACTCAGGTGATCTTAAAGGTCCTTCCAACTCAAATCATTCTGTAATTCTATGGTTCTTTTCTTCCACTTGCTTGGAGATGCTATTCCAAATAAGCTGGCAAGACTTAATGCAATAACTTATTTTTAAAAAAACTTTCTGTAATTCTAATGATGTATTTTATATTTTATGTTCTGTTCCAGTTCAAGAAAAAGCTGTTGGTGGAAGGAAGATGGATTCTTCCAAAATCAGCCCTATTGGCCAGCTGCTCCTGTCTGCTCCTATGTGGATGTGCTCAGAAAACAAACTGACAGATGATTAGCTGTCTCCATGTCATTGCTTGAAACATGAAACAAAACATGCTATTTTGAATCACGTAAAGAATGTTTCAACTTAAAATTACTATTTTTGAATGGTGAAAGGTGATTCTGAGTACTGGGGGAGGGAAGGGGAATAGTGAGTTTACTATTGGAAAAAAATTCTGTGGCTGATTTTACTTCAATATTCAGCACACACAAAAAAAAGACCTCCTTACATGCCAGCCTAGGTTCTTGCCCTGATTTTGAAAGTTCAGCTGTTAATTCAAATCACTGTAAGTATTTGACTTAAATCAAACGTTTGCACTGCTGGCTTGATCTTGATAAAGTGGGAGAATAATCAGTGTTGATTATGGACAATTTAGTTGCTTGGTGGACTGCATCTTCTTTTGAGTGCTTATGCAATTTTCTGAAGATAAAGCAACCCAAGTGAAGTGTCAGACTGTTCCTGGTACTGTTTTGGACAACATTACAGCATAGGCTCCCTTTTAAATAACTTGAAAGTGGATGTGGGGAAATCTCCTTTGATAATTAAATGCTTGTGAGTCTCTGATAAGTGAGTGATTAAAAAGCCCACATTCAGAAGGACAGTATGTAAGTGAAGCTGGTACACTGGGGATTTTTATGAAAGCTGCACAGGACAATCGTATGAAATTGGGATTTTATTCTCCCAATTAGAGCCTTCATTCCTTTAAGAAAAGGAAGGCTGGCACCTCACTCGAACCAAAAGGCATTTGGTTTTGTTATTGATGTTGGTTTTGTCTGTGTTTTTTGTTTTTTAACAAATCTGTGTTCTTGATGGACATTGTCTTTCAAAATTTCACTTCTGCTTAATTGAGAGTTGTTTCAGATATTTTTTTACTTGTTCTTTAAGACACTGCATTCCTGACTGCATAAATTAATTAATATCACCTATAATCAAGGAGACGTTGTAACGTGATATTTGCAGTTATGGGACAATGAACATTTGACTGTAATACCAAAACACCAGACTGCTGCATGTAGGAAGCCCCCCTCCATTAAACTGGAGATAGACAGCAGCTTTCTTAACATCTGAGTTAACCAGTCAGATAATGAAAGATAAGATGTATTACCAACTGCAAAGCCAAGGAAATTTCTGCAACACAGATCTAATTGTCTTGTGCCTTTTGTATACACCACATTTACCGTATCAGCGTTTACATTTAAATGCAAAATATTTGTTCTTCTGAAAATAATAAGAAGGAAATTAGTTATGCTTTTCAGGTGGAATCACAGTGTAAAGATTCCAATTTGTTGAAGAAGAGCAAGCCCATTTAGAATACTGGTAGCAAGATTAAGTGATGGATCTCTGAAAGGAAAAATCTTATTATTAACCCTTCTAAGGCAGGTAACTTCCTTTTTTTTCTTCTGGGATTACAACTTAAGTGGTAAGTCCTGGAGCACAAACTGGCTTTTTTTTCTTGTGAGGAAAAGGTATTGCACTTGTTTGTTGTTGTTTTTTTGGTTTTTTTTTTTTACTCTCAAAATATTAGCAACCTGAAACCACCTGATTCTTGCCAGAAGTGCCAGAGTGTGGATCCACTGCTGTAGAACACTTTTTAAGAACTAGCATGAAGGTAGCACATGGTTTACATGATGCCTGCAGACATCCTCTAACCAAAACTTTTCCACAGCTATTTGTTCAGTGTTGTCTTATCTGCTTAGTTTTTATTAGTGTTTGTTTAGGGATAAAGGGGAGAGGAAAAAATATATATTTTTGACACTTCAAGTTCTCTGGCTGTATAGTCTTGTTTTTTATGCAGTCAGGGTGATTTGTTGTGGAGCATGCATTTGAAAAGAGTATAAAGTTGAAATTCAGCTTTAATGTAATCTGCTCCATATTTTTACATACAGACAAATACAGCTTTCTTCCCAGCAAAACTCATAATGGGAATTGCTGGAACGCAGGTGGCAGACCTGCCCTGTGGCAGGACAGCAATCACCCTCCCTCAATGTGCTCAGGGCTCTGTGGGGTCTCAGTAAGGCTAGAAACGGATGTATAGAAATGACAGGGATCAGGAACTGTCAGTGTCTCAGCAGAAACATTTAGAAAGCACAATAACCCTAAATCTTCAGTTTTGATGTAGCCTTCGGCTGTCTCTCTTGGAGAAAAGTAAGGGAGAGCACATGAGGCCAGGGAACAAACTGATCAAGGGAGGGGATAGGAAGATGAGACATGAGCATCATTCAGTTGTGGTCAGCAGATCTGAACTGGAGGGCCATGGCTATACCAGATCACAGGCTGGTATGAATTAGGCCCCATGAACACTGATGGCAGCTGGGATGAGAGCAAAGCTCATCATGCTCCAAGGTGTAGTTTCTAATTCAACTCTATTTTTGGCTTTAAATGCCCCAACAACCTATACATTACATAGAGAAGTGACACAGTGTCATTGAGCACTGATGCTATTCCCATGCATGTGGGAGAATTTGTGAACAGGTAACAGGAGCAAGAACACAAAGTCATTTGTCCACTTACTCTGATTCTCCTGTTCTTTACCCTGTTATTGCTAGGCACTTTACTATAGTCTTCTAAGTGATATCCGTATTTTTTTTAAAGACTGCTTTATACCTACTGTACAGTTAATTGACTTTTGCTAAAAAAAAAAAAAAACCCTGATATTTGTCTAGAAATAACAACTCTGCATTTCAGGCTTCTTTGGAAGTTAGATGAGTTTGACGGACTCATCAAATGAGTCTGAGTCCCTCAAGGCAACAGTTTATTTTGTATACATGTAAGCAGTCATATGAATCCCTAGCCACCCCCACATGCTTAACAGGCTTCCTTAATTTGCATGTTAGAACAAATCCACTACATCTCTACACAGAAGTGGCACACAGTTATAATTTATCAGGTATGTATAGCGGATGCAATGCTCAGAGTCTTCCCAGAGAACTATTTTATTAAGACTGAGCATATACATGTTGGTTGGTTCCTTCAGTTGAGCAATTAGATACACAAAGCTGCTGCTGTGCACTAAACTGCAGACTGAGAGGTCAGCAGTTTAAACTAATGAAGCCCTGGTAATTATTTCCAACTATGTGTACTTAAAATCATGGTCTTTAAGCAAGGCTTTAGCATGGGTGGAAGAAGCAAGATTGTTCTAGTGCATGGTATGCCACAACTGTTCTTAGTCTCACAGCTGGACTTTTTTTCACCTTGATTCAGTTGACTGATGTGTTGGATGTAGAGGGAAATAAATTTCCACATATCTTTAGTGTAGAACTTCGCCACTTGTTAGTGTATTGCTCATATAAATAAATGCTTCATGTTCAGCAAATAACATATGTAGTGGTCATTCATATCCTACTTTCACAAGTTATCACGAGTACTACAGCTTCATTAATGTAGTTACTGTAACTGCCCTCTTCACTCCACAGGAGCATTTATGTGAAGCAGAGGCTGCAATGAGCCTGGTCCTGGTCAGCCACTGCCTGCAGCATGCACTCAGTTTTTCCCCTCTTTTACAGACTCTGGGTTTTTGGCTGAAATCCTTGCATATGAGTAACTGAACCCTGTACAAAACTTCTCATGCAAAATGAGATTAAAGAACATACTGTAATGCTGTATGGCTGATGGGGTGTCACTGTTTGCAGCTATCACTTTTTCAGTAGTTACGGGGTAAGAGGACAGGAAAAGCAGCAGCCTTCTGGGGTAAAACTTAGAGCAAACAGCGTATGATTTAACTCAAAGGAAAAACTTGTTTGTTCTTTGCTGTTTAATTTTCCCCTTTTCTGGTCACTCATTCTAGATAATCCTTTGGTTTCTCAGTTTTCCTAATGGCACCTATTCCTGGCATAGAATAACTCAGGCATCCTGCCTCTGTAGTATTTGGGGCAACGATTACAGGCATTTGCCTACATCCTCAGGCTGAAATCTTCTGAAGCAGATGGGCCCAATACTTTGCAGCAGCAGTTTGGAGAGCATACAGGGTAAGACACAACCCCCTTCCCACCCTCCTCCATCTTTCACAGCCATAACTGATTGGCATATCTGGAACAGACCCAACACCTCCTGACAGTCACTATTTTTAGAAGCCCTTTTCCCCTTCTCAGTTCATTTAAGAAGTCCCAGTTATAGACACAAAATACATTAATTATACAAGCTGTGTTACAGCCTGCTATTTTCCCCATATTAATAGATATTAAACCAGTCACTAGTTCAAGCTGGCAAGCACAAAACAAGTCCAGAAGCTTAATGATGGTACAGACACATCAGCAAAATACTACCACAGATACTACTGTACTTAAGAGCAGAGACATCCATAAAAGAAAACAAGGAGTTTGCAAAGTTCATGTTATATAACAAAATGTAAATAAAAGATACTGAAACCAGTGTAATGTCTTTAAAAAAGCAACAACAACAGAAAAAAACCAAACCGTTCCAGATGGTGAGGTGATAAACGCAATCACAGCTCAAAACTACTACCCTAAAAAAGACATAGCATGTTGTGTGTAATGCCACTTGACCCTCACAATTCAGCTGTTGCTGATTTCCAGTTCCCACAGAGGGAAAGGCCTCTTCTCCCCTCCATCTACTTCCCTTGCATTATCATCAGTTAGCTGAGGCTTTTCGAGAGAGCAGGAAAAAGCTCACTCAGGCTAAAGAATTCTCCCACTTGAGCACAGGCAAAGAAAATCTGTGTTGGCAGGAAAAGAACAAGAGAAGCCTCTGCCAAAATCAAATTTTGACATTTGGCATTAGAAAGCAAATTAGAACAATGGAGGAGAATCCTCCTCATTTCTCTACCACACCTACTAAGGCAAGAGGGAAGAAAACACCTAAATAAGCTCCTGCAAACCAGGACATTCAGGTTGAGAAATACCAGAAAAACAACTTCATGTTATGACTGGGGAAGTATCCAAGATAATTTGCATTTTACTCTACATAAAGAAAAGGTTGTATTATTTGTGAGATTTTGTTCTAATTCTACAAACGATATATCTCATAAATTGTATTGGATCTTTATTGGATGCTTTTGGCTCCCTTTGCATCACTGACTTATCACAGAGCTTGAGAGCTCTATTTAATTTATTCATGTGTAAAATAATAACTTCACAATTCCTTTAACTGCACTGAACTCACAATTAACATTAAGAGCAATGTTAAACAGCTGGTGTTCATTGAGAAGTTCTTAAAAATGATTGACTATGGAATTATTTTCTTCCTTTCGGTGTGTTCAACTAGCTTAGACAAGTTAAGAAACCAGGTGGAAGTTCAAAAACAGAAGATCTGGAAATACACTTTTCTCAAGTAAAAATGACACTTGCAAAATGGAAAAATAACAGCTAAAAAGCACATTGGCAAAACAAGAAGTGATATACCCTTGGGATCTTATGCAGGCCTCAAGTTTGTTGCCTTTCTTCCCCCTCTTCCTTTGAATAGCACGTTAGTTTTGTGTAGCATACTGAAAATAAATAAAATCACCAACACCAGGGCTTATAAAGCTCCATTTTCATTCTGTCAATGCAGCTCAGTCCAATGCAAAGGAAAAAAAAAAAACAAACCAACATGCCACTTCACAATGGTAAGCACACGGAAACCAGTAATGAGAAGGAGGTTCAGCTGTGTGCTACAACTGCTATGCTGTGGTTCTGTTGTGATTTCAGCACATTGCTTCATCACTTTTCTAAATAAAAAAATCCCAGACAATATCAAACACCTTCAAATAAGCTTAGTATTGAAACCATAAGTTCTCATGTGGAATACCTAAAAGAACCCTGTGAGAGAACATTAGACTCCAACATACTCATCAAGCTGATTTAATCAGCCTTTCATCAATTTTTTTTTTTTTAAAGTGACCGCAAAAAAAGGAAGCAAAAGTATTTCATATAGCTGAACAGCAACTACCACTCAAGAACATTCAGCCAACATTAAAAGCAAGATTTCTTAAGCACTAATGCTTAGAACCTAGGAAACTCTACTTAGCACTATAAAATGAAAACATAAAATCTTACCTTCCTCTCAAAAGATAGATAGGTTTGATTCTGTAACTTCCATTCTGAAGTACACTGCTATTTACATCAGTGTTTAAGGTGATTCCCCCTAGCATGAAAATTAATACCATCGATGCTGTTTAATTAATGGAAACACAACCTATAACACTGCAGAAGTGTCTTAACTGTGTTTATGCAGAGCTATACATGAAGCATACTTGTTAGCAATCAGCTTATCCCACTGTGACCAGAGCCCTCTCAACACCTTGCTCAGATCCACTCTGCTCTCTGCAACTGTTCAGGCTCCCCCACTGAAAGCAGTACCAGTTATCTTTGATATAGAAATTTGAAATTGAATAAAACCAGACAAACAATAACTGACTCCCAGGCACACTGCACCCGTAAGCTCCAAGAGTTCACGATGCCCCACTGTCACACACAGAACCAGTCATCTCTTATTGCAACCAAACACAACATTGCAAGAGCATGCAAAAAGCACAGACCTTACAGAAAACTCTGCGTCTACACCAGTTACATCTTCCAGTCCCTAAACTAAAACATGAAGTAACCATTACATCTTCACTGTGTGGCATGGCATGTCCTCTGGGTGACCAACAAGCAGCAAACGTACCTCATGGCTGCAGGACTCTCCTACTCATGCCTCATCTACTAATTCAGGAACCAGGTTGGTCTAGTTAGATATATTCTAATACCACCAAATCTCACGTAAGTTAACACTAGGAGAGACCTGTGACAATGTTGTCTAAACATACCTGCTCACAGCTCAGTCAGAAGCTATCTCACCTTCATAAATCCAGGCTTCTAATCATCTTCTTATTCTCCATGTTTGGAAATGGTTTCTAGGATTAGCTGCTCCATAACGTTCCCAGGGACCAAGGTGACACCAAGAGGTCTGCAGTACCACAGGTCCTCTTTTGAAGGCATCTGTTCTCTGCTTCACCCCAGGAAACTACCCTTACACTACAGTGATAACATTCAGGCTTGTTTGTTGCTTTCTTAGCCTTTCTTAACTGTACAGTTAGTGTCTGCTTCACTCCTGAGTGATCTGTCCCTGCTTCCACAATCGGTACTCAGTTCAGTCAGAAGCTCCATGTTCACCACTGCATGCTTCCTGCAACTTTTACTTGGCTTTCTGCATAAGGGAATGAACCATTCTTGAGCTTGAAGTAACCAGATTGAGGAAAATTTTTTGATGTCAAAGGTACAGGTCGTCCCCAAATTCATAACAGAAAAATGTACCAAACACCCAAAATCAATTTCAGACCTGTTTTCTCCCATATCAAAGATTCTTCTTGCTTAGTTTCAATAAGGAAAGGGATTAAATGCTTAAAAAAAAAAAAAAAAAAAAGTGACAGAACATAATGTTCTTGGAACATCTGACTCCAAGAGCCAAAAATACAAGTGAGGAAAAAAAAAGTCAAATCAGACAACAGCTTTTGATACTGCATTTCTTCTGACAAACCTCCAACAATAGATTTTAAATGGATTGGGAAGAGGAGAAGCCTGCAAGGAGAATTCCTGTCTCTGAACAAAAATGTACATGTCTAGACAGCTGGAACTCTGCCTTTACATTTATTTTCACAAAAGCAATTAATTCTGTCCATTTTGGAAACAGATTGATATTTCAGGCTCCACAGTTTACAAGTAACAGTCCTATGCATAACAGGAGACAATTTTTTTTTTTCTCATAATCTTGACAACTTACCATGCAAGTCACTCCTTAATGGAAACTAAATCTAATTTTGGCACAGAAACAGTGCTGCATAGATGCCTCCCAGCTGTAACCAACTCTCATCACCCTGGATCACATCTGATCAGATGAAGAGTTCACACGCAGAACAAAACGTAATCTTAGTTTAATATTAATCACAGTCTTTTAAGAGCTTTTTTGTTTTGTTTTGTTTTCCTACCTCAGGAAAAAATCTAAAGAACACAATTGCTTAAAGTCAAATGTCCCATGAGATTTTTAGGTTAGGGCTTATAAAAACAGCCTGATCCTGCAGGCTTTGCAGGTCCTTTGCAGCTGGGACACCCAGTGCACACCTGCTGCTTATCCTTGGGTTTAGGTTCTTCCAGCAAAAGGAGTCTCAGCTCTGCCATGCCCATGACTGGAAGCAAAGCAAGGCACAGAGTGGCATGCAGGATGCACAATAGTCACTTGAAAAGCATATCCCATTCTGATCTAGAGCTCTTACCATACACACACCTTCACAAACCTCTAAAAACATCCCTTCACCTACACCTAAAAAATTATTTCAAAACAAAATCCCAAAGAAAAGTTAGAAAAGTTATCCCCTCCAAAAGTTAATTATTTTTACCTCTACAGCTATTGAAGTTGAAAACAAATGTACTGATTTCACAAAATTTTCAGATGAACCTAAATATTAAAAGGCAACTTGATGCCATAGTAAGAATGCATTGTGCCCTTCTGTCAGACAGCACCCATCTTCCTGTTAAAGCCAAAGAAGAAACAAAGTTAAAAATAAAATAACTCTCCATTACCTACTGCATGATGATACCAACAGAAATCATCAGTGGGGTTTGGTCACTTCAGGACGAAGCTGTAGTTACCTCTCTAACAATGCAGGTCAGTGGGAATTAGTGCAAAGAGAACTCTGCTCTGGATAAAGCATCAATCAGCAAGCAGTGAACTGTATCATTTCACAAACAGAGGAAGACAACCATCTGTTCAAACAAAACAGCATTATTGACTGTAATAGGCACATCGCAGGAGGAAAAAAAAACCAACTTCAACAAAATCACCAGTCTCTTGTTATGTAAGAAAACATTTTTTTAGGCCTTTATTTACAAAAGCTTTAAAAACAAATACCCTCTGTTATGCAAATTATTTGTTGTTTAAAAAGGACCACCCAGTTACATTGTTGTAACTCAATGAAAAAGGTGTTTGGTGCTGTTTGTTATTTGTCTTTGCAGTACAAGGTAAACAGAATAATTGGCGAACATTTGGAGTTTTTCTGTGATTGATTTCCGTGCAGAACACGCACACCCCTACGCGCGCACGCACACCCAGGCACACAATGTCACACTTTCCATCATTTCAGGCTTGGATTTAGCTATTCAATACCAAAAATGCCTCCTGCACAACTGCTCTGTACACACGGTAAGCAGAGATAAGAACATATTTTAGGGTCCTTTAAAACAATATATCTAAAATATATTGCTAAGATATACTCAAAAATAAACTAGCATTACAATCCTCAGGTAACTTTATTTGTTCTGAGTTATTTATATTTTGTTGTTTTACAACAAATACTGTAACATCTGTCTTTGTAGCAACTACAAAAAAGCACGATTTAGTTGTCCTGATTCAGTAATACACTTAAATAGTTTTGTTTTTTTTTCAGATCTTTGGGTTCTATCTTGAACTAAACTGACTTCCAAAAATTGTCAAACCAAGTACATAATAAATATGACTTCATAAAAAAATATTTGGAGTATACATCACTAGAATAAAAGTTAATCAAGGGAAGTGTGCCATTACAAAATTCCTACTATTCCAATAGCCTTCAAATCTCAGCTTAATGGCAAGATGGTAAAGTCAGAGCTGTTCTTTTCCTGAAGGGTGTAAAGCTGTTTTCTCAAGCTTCTTTCCCTCCTCACAGAGCGGATCTAAAGCAGCAGGCCAACCAGCAGTTGGCACGTGCAGGATGTGTCTGATGGCAGAACATTAGTAAAACAACAGCAGTTACTATGGTTTCAGTAGTTTGTTTTGCTTGAATGAATGCAGGTTATGCAGCAAATGTCATATTCTATGGGTTGAAATACCAAAAGATGCCAAAAATACAGTGTGAAGCTGCTGAACTTGGAAGATTATTGTTTCCTAACTAAGGGCAGAAGAAAAAAAAACTTCAAATGAAACAGAGGATTGAGTCAGAGTTGCTCTCTAAAGTGCAAATTTGATGGTCCACAATCTTGAATAGCTAAAACGCCTGCATACTGGAAGGAACAGACATGAATGGGAAGTTAGTTACAATCAGCATGAGTGTTAATTTGGAGAAGGGAGGGGAAAGAGACAAAAAACCTAAGACCAAAGACCAATATAGGTAAGTTTACCATACTATTCATTATGATTTAGCTTTCCCCTTCTCTCTGCCACACTGATCCTACACATGCTTCTTTACAAATGGGCTAGTTATGACTCCAAAAGTAACCCATAAAATTCTATATATCAATATTAAGATCAAAATCTGTGATAGGAACAGTCAGGTTTAGTACATAGAAAGGCAGAAAAGAAAGTGTGCTGAGAAAGGGGGGAAAAAAGCCTTATTGTCCAAGGGGTTCAACCAGAGATAAAACATATGTACAAGCATGTGGAGCTCAAAAAGATGGCCTTTCATTTCGTGTCATGACTGTTTGTTGGCTTCTTCTTCATAAGCATTTCCTGTGCCATTTTGTACATAAGATGACCCCGAACCAAGGCCATACAAGTGGCCACAATATTTGGCATCGTCAATGTGATCTTCAAAGAACATCTGAAGTGTTAAAAGAAAGACACAAATTAATGCCACCAAAAACACCCAGTTTAAACAGAATGACAGAAAGGTTTAAAAGCATTACTGTTGGTTTTAGCATTGCATATCACATCCCAAGATTCAAATGACATAAAAATAGCATAAGATTCAAATAGCACAAAAATACATTTAATCGCAACCTAAGATTGAAACACGCTATATAGTGCAGTTCTTTAAAGTGAATCAGTCAAGGAATACCATCAGTCTCTCCGTGCACCTCACATGACAAAATGACTGCATGTTTTGGTAGTTTGGTGTCACCTCAGCTACCACTTGCTTTTCTGAAAGTGCAACAATATCTCTCCAGCAGATTTCTTTTTGCTTTCTCACAACAGATATATGTTTGGTATCCATTGCAAGTGCCCACAGTTTATCTGCTTATCACAGGGGAAGGTTCCATCATACCTTGTCTTGAAATGGATTTACACTACATCATTGTGAGGTGAGAATGAGGAGGTACATGTTTGAGCACAGGAATTATGGAGTTTAGGAAATCTATCTTCCTGCATTTCTCAGCTATCTCCTCTAAGAGGAGGGCTTCATTTAAAATAAATAAATAAATAAATAAATAAAATTAGAAGAAACTTTTTTTTTCTTTTTTTTTTCTTTTCTTTTTTTAAAAAACTAAGACTGCATTTACGTAAGACTTCATAGTCTAAATTATCAATAAAACCTTTCAGGTGCTGTACTATACGAATTATAAACAGAGAAGAAAACCTCTAAACCACAGCTTGCTGTTCCAGCATCATATATTTATATATTTTTATATATATATATATTTTTACCAGCATCATATCTATATATTTCTGATGGAAAGAAAAAGATCTGAACTTTTTGGATGGGACTTGAAGAGCCAGCAAGTTGAAGTTCTAACAGCAATTATTAACATTAACAACACCATTTTGTATCTTTAAAAACATTGTGAAACAAAGTTTTTCACTCCAACATATATTGCTAAACAGTGAACAACTGAAAAGGTTTTAGAAGTGCACACTAAGTATATTTACTACTATTGACTAACATGCTTTTACTTAAAAATGTTGTATTTTAAAAGAAACACTGAAAAAATAATCAGTCTTTGTCGATTTATTTAAACAAGTGATTTGCACTAAAAGCTACATTTCTCTGAGTAAGACCTTAAGACAAATTCAGGCAGATAATTTGTTTCTTCAATAATATGCAATTTGTTACATGGCACCATGGGTTTTGAAAGTCAGTACCTTAGGTACAATCAAATACTTTCCTTTATTTGCTTTAGATTTTGTTTCAAATACAAGAGCAACAGATAAACAATAGCATGCAGATTGCAGTTAACAGCACCTGTGTGGATCACAGGTGGATCATATCAGAAGCAATATCCTCTGCTGCAGCTGTAGCCCGTGACCAGCTCAACAACATCCACAGTTTCAGGAGAGGAGAACAGTGTTGCGATGAGCAAGCCAGAGCACACCACAGCACTTACATTTCATCTGCTGTCTCACTAGCGGTTGTTAGAAACTCATGGTCAGCTTTTTTTCCTATATACAAAAGGCCATGTTACAGAAAGCAGAAGCCTCAGCATGCAATACTAAACCTTATAAAAAGATGAGGCTTGCTATTGCCATTATGAAATGACACCAAATTCCTGTCAGAGTGTCACATTCAGATGCCCTAGCATTTGTCCAGTGTAACTGCTTTCAAGAAGCCCATTTAGAATTTGTTTATTCCACTCATGAAAAATATCCTAGTATTCTTCCATTGTATCTGCATATACAAATAGCAAGGATATAAAAAGCTTCCTGATTTCCCTTCAAAATTTCAATTGATTGATATGTAATGTTTTAGAACATTGTACCCTCCAAGTTTTAGCTGGAAGCAGCTAGTGTAGGCAGAGCTGCTCATTCCCTGCTGCTAGGCCTGTCACAGGCAGCAGTGCACACCAGCTGGGTATTACAGCTCAGCAGAAGCTCTGCAGGAGAAGAGCAGCCTGAATACAGTTACCCAGTAAAGAGTCTGGCTCTAGCAGCCACTATGCCAAAGAAATTCTGCAAAATAGGCAATGGAAAGAAAAGAAGAAAAAGCCAGGCATACAATGAGAACAAGAAGCGATGTTCACAGTAGCTAAATAGGGAAACAGTAGGGCTGGTTCACACTTAGTGTGGGGAAAATACAGTCTTACTGTATATATCTGTCAAGAGAGCAGTGACCTCTGAAACCCCTTAAAATCACCTTAAAATACATCAGACATCAGAATCAGCAATTCCATCTATTACAGCAAGTTACTACTATGGAGACAAAACCAAGACACGTGCACCTACTTCTCTCATTTTGAAAAAGGCCATTCCTGTGAGTAAAGAATCAGATCCTGCCTGATGTTGTGGTCCTATCCTTTCCAGCTCTAACTGCTCAGCCACTTCTTGCAATCCACCCTGAAAATGAAAACATTTGTTAACTGCTGAAAAAAAAAAAAAGAAAACAAAACCAAACATCAGTATTTGGGAAAAACTTGTTATACCAGACTTTCAACTTCAGTATATTTTAAACACTTGCACAGAAGCTTGAAGAGTCTCTATGTTGGAAGATCAAGCTTTCTGTATCAACAGTTGTATTCAGTTCCATCTCAGAAGAGTTTAAATCAAGCTGTGTGTCTGCGTCCAACAAAACTCCTATTGCCTCATGTTCCATCCTTCCCCCAAGAACAGATGTTGCTACTTAACAAAACAATCCCTTCAAGAGGCTGAAAGGACTGGCGATGCTGAAGAACAAATCAAGGTGTTCCTGTAACCCTTCTATTTGAATGAAAGTTTAAACTGTAAAAATGTCTTACTGCAAATACAAGAATTCAAGTGCTTACAAATGGGTGCTTAGTTAAAGTACGCAGGCTTCCTCTGAAAAAGACTTGTTTTCTCTTCCACTTACCCTTCAACAGTTCAGTTGAGGGTTTTTCACTTCACTTTACAAAAACTAGGAATATCCTTAAATATCTAGAAAGCTACAGGAAATACAAAACAACAACAACACAACAACAACAAAAACCCAAGTACACAGTCCATCTGTACAAGACATTCTAGTTGTCTTTAATATTTGTTCCATTAACTGCCAAAAGAGGACAGGAAAAAAGAACATACAAATGATGAATTTCTCTTCTGCAAGTTGTTTTTTAACATGATGAAAGCCAAAGACATAGTCAACTTCCTCTCAGACACGTATATTCAATAATAACACCACATTGAATGAAATCTACCTCTTACAAAAGAGAGTATCAGCATCCCACATGCAAAAAGGAGCAATTTAAAACTCAATGTCTGAATACTGACACGTGGTTTAAAAGAACATACTGAAAAGGTTCAGAAATCACTGCAAACCTACCTGCTCCTACAAGATAAAGCTTCAAAAGTTTTGAAGCTTATTTTATTTTCTATTAAGCTTAGATTATGTTGAAAATCTTCCAAGTTGTAGAACAACTAAAGTAACTTTTCATTTTAGTGGCTCAAAAATGATAATAACCATTTGCAGAAGCAAACAGTCAGAAATTTAGTTTGGTTTTACATATATATGTCTATCCTTCAAGTGATCTGCATTATACTTTAACTGTGATCTTTGTAAACTGGGGGAATATAATTTCATACTTCTTAAAAATCATTAAGTGCTGAAACCACTAGAAATGGACTAAAACATGTGGCGCATGCTTTATATTCTAGAGAGATCAAAAACCAAGGAGAAACCTTTAGTGAAACTATAAGCTGTTGAAAGGTGTAAACATCACACAGAGGAAATGATCTTAAATCAAGACTGCCCAGTATCTGAGGTCACCTGTGTCCTCAACACCTTCAGCATGTTTCAGTCATGGGCAGGGAAGCAATAAAAGTGTAATAATGTTAGAATTGATACAGTAATAGAAATCTGACCAAGAGGCCAGACCTAACGTTATGAAAATTTCTATGAATCTTAACATAGAACATTTCATTTTAAAAATGAAAGCTCAAGTAATAACATTCCCAAGTAACACCAAGCAAACCAACGTGAACCACTGGTACTGGCATGTCTAACTTTATTCCAGCTTGAACAGTTGAGTATTGTCTGAATAAATTTGAGAATTAGTCTATATATAGCACAGTCAAGCACTGAAGCTTGTTTTCTTCATTTGCTTGGAGACAACATTCAAACAGTGCATATACACCAATTCAGTTGTTTAAGTTATACCCTTAAGGACGTTCAGGGATGATGGGCAGATCTCAAATCAGTGTTCTCTATAGTCTAACTCCCAATAATTAGATGCTGGTATTAGCAACAGCAGTTGCCTTTCCAAGGTATTATTTGCTGTTTCTGAATTCTTGACTTTCCCAAGCTGCAACTTAGCATTGCCTTATCATTATGCAGTGCTAGCTGTTAGGCTATCTGCACCAGCTTCAAACAGCTTTTAAGACAAAAACACTCACTAATCACAAATCAGTACTATTTACACAGTGGCTGCAAGCTCTGAAATGTAGCAAAATCTACAGAAACAGGAGCAAAGCAAAGAACGCTTTGAAAATAATCCTTCTAATATATATAGTTACTAATAGATATATTTGTAAATATTTCATTACAATCGCCTCCAAAGATTATTAGGCTACTGAAGTTTTCTTTCAGGAAAGACCTTCATGCTCCAGACAAGAATATTTAACTTGTGGGGGAGAAAGACAGTAGAAAGGGATTCAGAAGAAAATGAAAGCAAAGGCTATAAATCTACTTTAGAGTTGCTGTTACTGCAAAAATGCATGGAGTTGTCTATATGAAAAGATTTGTAGAGGCCAAGCAGGAATTTAACCTATACTACACAAATACCTCAAATTAGTCACAGTCTGCATGCTTAGTACACTAATAACGTTCATTTTTATTAGAGCAGCATACTGCAAATTCATTACAAGAACAGTAAACAGCTTCTACATCCTCAAACATATATTTGTCTTATCAGTGCTAGAAATTCTTTTTTGGTTGTGTGAGGGCAGAGATAGGTGGGAAGCTTACAGTAAATCAGTGTTTTTTGTATGAAAATAACTAACACAAGTCAATAAAGAACAATTGCACAGCAATTCAATTCTCTACCATTTAATAGCAATCGAATGTGACATGTTAGGAGAAAGTGCATGCAATTTTAGAGTCACAATATGCAACATTTAGCAACTTTTTCAGACTGCCACTCTCAGTACAGTACAAGTCCACAATAATATCATCACTGTTATTTAGAGTGGTAGAATAGCCCACATCCCCTCCTGCTCTTACCAGTCTGCAGGTTAGAAGAAAGGAACAAGATTTGCCGCAGGAAAGCTGACCTACATACTAAACTCTGGAAAAGACACCCTTGTTCTTAAGTTTTGCTGAAAGAAGACTCATGAAGGATTTTCTTATCTTCCAAAATACATTTGAATCTCTAAACAGTGCAAGTTACACACAACTGTCTCCAGTAAATGACAAGGAACATAATTCCCTCCTGCCCAAAACCACTTGGAATACGTGAACAGCCTAGAACACCTGGAACAGGGATATGGAATGTCACTTTGCTGCCTTTCCCAGGTCACCGAAGTAGATGATACATACTGTTCTTGGTAAGTGTATCACCACCACAAAGATAAGAGACATTTTACTTCACCGGGAAGTGAGAAGGTTATTTTCTTTTGTTGGTGTTGGGTTTGCTGCCCCTAACTCTTAAGAGACTTCTGAAGCTTGTTTTTGTTTCCCTTCTAGTTTCTGTGAAGAAAAAACACATCTAAAATGTTTTCTAATATCCAGCCAGCTGCCCAACTGATTATCCCAAAAACTGGATGAAGACTTTTCTTAATAACTAAAAGAGAGATCTCAATTTTCATCATCAATTTGGTTAACAAAAGAAGTTACACATCTTTGTAAGCTACTATTTAAGTGACACACTAAACACCTCAAGGAAACAAAGGACTACTAACCCCATGCAGACCACATCATGACAAAGTGAAAAGCTTTAGGATTTAGTTGTACTACAGTCTGTGCTCTTTTTTTACTCACGTTCTTTTTAAGAAAGCCTAAAAAAAATCAATTTACTTTCCATAAAAGCAACAGTCATTTATTTCCTCAGATGAGTGGTGCACTTCATTCCCGCAGCAGTCCAGAATCTTAAAGTTCTTTAGCAAGTACAGTTGTTAACAATCCCTGTAGCATCTTTCACTTTGCTGTCTTCCCCTCCAACATACTTTGTTTCAATTCATTTTCCAGTTCAATTAAGTCTCCAAACATCAGGCCAATTAGCAGCCCCGCTGGCCTGACATGAGAGATTAGTTTCTAAAATTGCTTTTTTTTTTTTTGCTTTTTTTTTTTTTTTTTCCTAGAAGTCACGTGCTGCACCTGAGCATATGCTGCTCCTTCTCTACAGGGCCATCTGAAACATTCTTCACTCTATTCCTTTTCCCAAGAGACTTCCACAGCATCACCGTTGCAATTACCTTTGTGAAGATGACCGCAGCCCTTTAGTGGACTGCACAATGAGGAAATAAGAGTATGTGAAACCCATCAGTTCTTATCACTCAAGAAGTGAAGGATTAATCCCAAATGTGAGTTTATCATCAGGCAACAAAGACTGGGCGTAGCTATAAATACAGTATAATATACATACACTTTTTAACTGGTAAGCAGTTATAAAAGTTGACATGCATTTCCGCCTGCCTCTATCAATAGACTTTAGCAATAAACACATCAAGTTTGAGAACAGTCCTGTTTAAAGGATATTATCAGAGCAAAGGCAGAAAACCAGAATACAAAAGATAAGCTCTCAGCAGAAAGTATTCTCCCCCCATTCGCCCCCAAAAAATGCCTGGACTGAATCATTAACAGATTACTTACCTTCAGATTTTTGCAACTCTTCATGAGATACTTTACATCATAGATGACAGGGAAAAACAATCGCAGTATCTCAAAGAAGTCCAGCTCTTCTTCCGGTAAATTAGAGTTGGTCAGGATTTTTATTAGATAACCAAAGTCATATCCACTGCAAATTAACAAATATAACAAAAATTGACAATACAGTCAAGTAACTTAGAAACATTCTTCACTTCTAACAATAACAGTATTAAACATTAAGAAGAAGGTATTTTTGCCTAGTTCAATGCAACTTTGACTCTTACAACAGAGTAAGAATTAGTGTAAATGGTCCAAACTGCAGCTTCCAGAGAAAACAATTCTCAAGCGACTACATGAAGCAAAAACATGATCTGCTTGCAGATCTGATAGAGGATCTGATAACAAGAACTTAAACAGAAAGACTCCTAGCTGATTCCTAGGACTGAAAGAGAGGAAAAGGCTTCTACTTCATAATCCAAAGGAAGGACAAGCTTTCACGAGTCAACACATCTTTATGCCTGGAGGTAAGTTTACTCCTCGGCAGTGAAGAAGAGCAGGCAGCCATTCAGCTTTCCCAATTAAATCAGCACAAAGTTAGACAGCTAACAACTTTCAGTAGCTTGCAGACTATGACTCATTTGGAAGGCAATGACAGAACAAGTTGGAAAAATTTGTTATGTACATACAAGGCTAGGTAAGAAAAACTGAGGTCTTACAGAGCGTGCATGGTGGAGAAGAACTTGGGAAGACTTCCTTCTCTCCATAATCCTTTACTGAAGAAAGAGGACATAGGAAGGGGGTGTGGCAGTAAAAACAGAAAGCATGAAATAGACTACTTTTACAAAGGGTTATAAGATGAAGCAGAGGGTTTAAAGTACACAGTAAGCAGGCCTGATAACTACTTATCCTTTTTCTTAGGAAGACGGAGGTAATAAACCAGATTATTCATGATCTAATCATAAATCTGATCCTTCCTAATCCCTTGTACTTGCAGTATTGCAGTATTACGCACTGAACCAGTCAGGAGACTGACACATTATCTTCCATGTTATTAGGTCAGCACTGAATTAAATAGGTTCATAGACTTTGTTGGTGTCCTGGGTTCAGGTGGGACAGAGTTGATTTTCTTCATAGCATCTGGTATGATGCTATGCTGCCACTTTAGGAGAAAAGCCACATTGCTTACACACCAATGTTTCAGTTGCTGCTGAGCAGTGCTGTGGGAATCAAATGTTGTTTCTGCATGAGAACAAGATAAGAACTTTTATTTAATGGTCTCCGCTGCCATAGTTCTTTTCAGGGGGTCTCTGATATATCACTTGTCCTCTAGATAAACCTTCCCCAGGAATGCATGCTCAGTGAGACATCTTGGAAGCAGCAGGATAATTGACTGACTGACAAGATAGAGCATGAATCAGCAAGTGTCAGAACGTAATTAACAAATGTAAATCTTTGGTAAGATTGTGAACCTGGAGTACCCAACCATTGGGAAAAAGGGGAGTGAGTGGGTACGGGGGAGACAAGGTACAAAAGCTCTACTATTGTGTCCATAGGTGCTCCTGCTTGTGGGACACCCACCATTGCAATCGCAAATAAAATCTGCTTCTACCAAGAGATACCGGCCTGGTAAAATATAATAAGGAGCTGGGAGGGGACAGAACCAGGGACAGCTGACCTAAACTAGCCAAAGGGATTCTCCATACCATATGACATCATGCAAAAACCATTAAATTGAGGGGAGTTGGTCAGGGGGCAGCTGCTGCCTGGGGACTGGCTAAGTATTTATCAGTGGGCAGTGAGCAACTGCATCATGCATCAGTTGTCTTGTGTGTGTGTATATAACTAAGATTTATGTTACTTCTGTCCCTCATCATACTATGTCCCTCATCCCATTGGGGGGGAAGGAAACAAGCGAAAGGCTGTGAGTGGTGCTGAGCTGCCTGCTGGGTTAAACCTCAGCAGCTGGTATGCAACTTGAAAAATGACTGTACCAGCAGGACTGCTCAACTGAAGGCTGTGCTTATGCTGTTTTAAGAGCATTCGCAGCACATTCACAGTCTAATTCAAGTGAATGAATGGCCACCCAGACGTGAATTCTCAATTTCCACCATGTTCATTCTTGGTTGCATGACCATCATACCCTAAGAGAATTTTGCAACATGGTCCAAATTCTTGACTGGGGTCTTTCAGCATTAGCTATGAGGTGAGCGATACATGACAATACAATTAATTATAATAGTTACTCTTTACAACTGCCTGAAAGAAAGTCACAGCTAAAGAGAGTCAGCTTCTTCTCCCAGGTATCTAGAGATAGGATGAGAGGGAACAGCCTCAAGTTGCACGAGGGGAGGTTTTGGTTGGATACTGGTGGCAAGTGGACATTTGGACTAGATGATCTTATGAGATCTTTTCCAATCTTAGTGATTCTATCATTCTACACACAAATCAGGTAAGAGTGCTGTACTACTGATCCTGTACTGTACTACATCCACTTAGAACGGTGACTGCTGATGAAGGCTTAAAGCTTTAGCTTACATGTAAAAAGGTTTGCTTTTTGTACCTTTTGTATATGACTAAGATCTCTACATCACCTTGATCTTACAAATTTCTAGGCAGGGAGCAGAAAGTCTTGAACACACAAGGAGTGAATGTACTGTTTACTAGAAGCCCATTAATACAAGATACGCAGATGGTATAGACTAGTGCAGCTCTCCTAAGGGAGTTTCCAGTATGCTAAACAGGAATTTCAAGCTGAATGAATCCTGTGCTGCAACTGCTGCTTTGAAGCTGTGCTGGCAGCAGATCAAGTTCCACAGCAGCAGCCACCGGCCAGGGAGCAAAGGAGCCAAAGATAAAGGTTTTCAGTGCACTCTTAGGATGTAAAAACCTGTTGCATACTATCAAAACAAAAGCTTGGAAGCTTTATTTTATTAGATCACCTACACAGAAGGGTAGTCCTCTGTGGAACAAAGTGGGAAGAAAAAAAAGCCCCATCAGGGAAAAAACTAACAAAACTGCTCAGGATTAAGTAGACCCTTAATCCTTAGATACTACAGAACTTATTTATAAACTCAGTGAGTTCCTGATATCTGGTTTTTTTTGTGACTCAAATATAACAGATGCATCAAAAATTTTCCCGAGAGAAAACAAACAAACAAACAAACAAACAAAACCAATACTTGTGCTCACCTTTCTTTAAACAAATTATATTACTGGACTGCTAGAAAACATTTTCAATTTTTATAAGAAGGAAATACTACAAGAAGAAAGGATTCATTTAGTATTTGTATTGAGAACGAGCAATCTAAAACAACTTTGCAATTATGGTAAGAATTTTTCTTCTCCAGACACTGTTGTAGATACGTTCATGTGGGAATCCTCACACAGAAAATTGAACACAATAAGTGAATGGTGAACTTATTTAACTGAATTGCCCTTCCATTACATGGCAGCATTCGTTAGATATCTTTTCATGGATCCTAAGCACAAGTTAGTTTTAGTCAGCTCAATCAAGTTCTCTCTTACATTTCTGAAATTCCCAGGTGCTTACTCTTACTCCTGTTGTGCTCATAACAACAGTCAGAAAACCACACATTACTGATCACAATGCAGTACCAAGGCATTCATTTGTCAGTACACTTCTGGGGTTTGATATGCTCTTGTCATCCGTACTTACAATGACATAAGAACTACCATTCTAATTCAAGGCTAAAATATATTCATTTCAAACATTTTCAAGTGGCCACTGCTGACTAACAAAAGGGGAAGAAGGCTCATAGTGAGCAATTATTCAATTACTTGCTCATTAGTGAAGTTTTCTTCTAATACTATAACAGGCAATTAGTGGTTTATACCCCGGAGCAGGGAAGCTTCCTTTCTTAAAAAGCATTTACTGTTCCTAATACAATCACTTAAAGTTGGTAAGTGCAGCTAACCGCAATCCCTGGAGCTATACAGCACCATAAGCACTCTTACCACCACTGTTTTTCAATCAACATGGACAGCTGTAGGCAACAAGACTATCAAGAGAAGATCAAATGTGACTGCATTTCTTTCACTCATTACCCGGAAGAAAAAAAAAAAAAAGAAATCAGATCAACAATTAACAATGAACTTTACCCAAACACCAACAGGCTCTGAAATGAATAATACCTGACAGGGCTGAAAAAGCTTTACTCCATCATAAAACTACCTATATTCATACTGAAGTGAGCCAACAGATTTTCTAAATTTTACTAAAATCTGTCAGACATAAATTATTAATGAAATGCAATGGCTAGGAACTTCCCAGCTTCTCAAAATAAACATTTAAGTCTAAGAGACATATCCAAGGAATATCAAGAAGACTGCACATAGGCTTCACTGTATCAGCAAGCCAAACACTCAAAAACAGAATGTGAGCTGTTGTTTTACAAACTGTCTAGATTGCTAAATATCCACAACACTCTTGACTGTGACAAGAATTATGAATTCAGGGCCTTCTCTTCTTCTCTCATCAACTCAAATAAGTTTTAATACACTAAACATTTAATGTAGTCTCCTGTGAAGCTACTGTATGTGAAAACTGGTGACAGAAAAACTTTCTTCAGTCATGTCCAACAAAACTGCAGATCTGCACAAGTTTGCCAGTAGGTCAGGATGCCAAGACAAATGCACATCAAACACACATAGAAAGCAAGCAGAGAAAGCTATTTCAGAAGCTACTATCCTAGAAAAAAAGTTATATATGAGTTCCAGAAAACTGAAGAACGCAAAATAAAACCAAAACAGGTAACCTCTCACTCTAAGAAAAAAGTATTTCCTCCCCTGTCACTGTGCAAAGAGACTTAAAAATTGTGGGTGTTAGCAATAATCAAATCATTTTGAAAAACCAGAAACAACAGCATAGTCAGCAACTACTGAGTACAAACCTTTCATTATTCTAAGAATTAACGTATAGAGAGCCTACATGAAACAAAGCTTCAGCTGAGCTCTCACGCTGTTTTAAGTTCACGCTAATAGAACGTAATCAAAGATACAACTGCTCACTATTCTTTGCAGCATGTTTTGTGACCCACATTCATTTCGTAGTTGAGCAAAACCTTACCATCCTCAGAATTTCACCCATTACTCCAAGGTTTTCTGCTTAACATCAACATGCTCTGACAAATGCAAAAGCCTTTAAATATTTTCAGCAGAGCTGTGGACATTCAGCGTTTGGGAATTAAGAGGATGTCTGAAGAAGATTTCTAAAGACATTTTCAGTGAAGTCCACAAGAGATACAGTTTTTAGCAGAAGCAAATGCACATTGTTAAAACTATCTCAAAAACCTGAGGCAAACTGCTAAACACCCCATTATTGCAGTTTATACTACCATCAGCACAATGTTAGTCAACAATCACAATCAAAAAAAGCAACATTTAAAAAAGAATATCTAGTGAACAAGAGGCTTTTGTACTCTTTCGCTATCACAGGTTACAATGCATCCTTGAAGTTAACACTAGGAAAACTTAGTAGCTTTAGTTGCTTCTATTTGGCAATGCCTTTTGATACACAGGTTGCAGGCCTGTACCTCATGTACCTCAGTTCTTCTCCTGAACTATCCAAGTTATTCTGTTGTTGTCAATTACAAATTTGCACATAATAATGGGTTTAAGGAACTTAATTCAACACCCATTTAGCATCTGGTCATTTTGAAACAGTTAATGGCATTCTTATTCCACTATTTTTCACCAGGCTGCAGCTGTAGTTGCAAGACAGAGTAAGATTATTTAGGAACGAAGAGGTAACATAAACAGATACAGCCCTGAATGGAAGACACTGTAAGGGGGTTAGGCAACAAGCATACTTACAGATGATTTTTTTTTTTTTTTTTTTTTTTAGAAGTCTAACTGGAAAAGTGTTTCTACTAAGCAATATTGTTTAATTATTTCAGACAACCAGATTTGAGTTTTTAACAACCCCACCTGGAATGCTTTTTTTTTTTTAAATATAATTATTTATAGAAATCTTTTGAACTTTACTGAATCTTAGCATAATGCCATTAAGTCACATGCAGAGCACCACAGCTTTGCTAGGTGTCACGCATAACAACACACCTTTCCAAGCCCCTGTTAAGAGAAAGCATCTTCATTTAAGCTAAGTTTGTATTCAGATGAAACATCTGTATAGTTTCATACTTCATTTTTCTTCCCACCAAGGACAGCGTACAATTATTTTCCTTGTTATGTACAATTTTTTCTTTCCTATCTTACATTCCTTGCCAAAGCAAGCCTTAGTTTTCAGCTGCTTAATGACTTAAATACTTCTGATTAAATATTTCATCCACCTTTCTCTCCTCCAAGCTCCCTTCTAATACTTAACAGTTAAGGATAAGAATTTGGCTTGTTGTTCCCCCCCCAGTTTTGACAACAAACATACTACCACCCAACAATGTAGCACACATCATAAGCATGAATATGACTGCAAAAAAACCTCCAGTATTCAGCTAAAAAGCTTATTCTACTTTCATTGACTTGCTTAGCAGACAGCATTCAAGATGTCAACTTACACTCATTACATGCAATAAGCCTCTAAACTCACAGTTGCCTGTAAAAAGTGCAAGCTATCCCTGGCATTTAGCTGACTGTGCAATAACTAATGCCTAAGTTTTAAAGGTTTAAGTCTTATCAACAGAAGAATATCGTAGAATCATAGAACGATTTGAGTTGGAAGGACCTTTAAGATCATCTAGTTCCAACGCCATTGCTACAGGCAATCCTTCTATCTCCTTCTAGACCAAGTTGCTCAGAGCCTCATCCAGCCTGGCTCTGAGTCTTTCCAAGGAGCGGGCATCCACAGCCCCACTAGGCAATGTGTTCCAGTGTCTCCCCACCCTAAAAGTGAAGAATTTCTTCCCAATATCTAGCCTAAATCTACCCTCTTTAAAACCCTTTCTCCTTGTCCTCTCACTCCATGCCTTTCTGAAAAGCTCTTTTCCAGCTTTCTCGTAGGCCCCCTTCAGGTACTGGAAAGCCGCTATAAGGCTGTTGTCCCCCTCCTACCAGAGCCTTCTTTTCTCCAAAGCTCCCGCTCTCTCAGCCTGTCCTCATATCTTGAGGGATTCACATAGTTTTGGGGATTCTCATTTCTATTTCTACTTGGAAAACATGTTCCTGCAATGGAATGAATGGCAAAGTATATTCACTGCTGCTGCTAGAATTAAGACTTCTACTAGGCCTCTCCTAAGCTGAAGAATTTTTGTCTGCTCATATTAGCACATTTACAACAAATATAACTCTGCTTCATAAAAATCTTTACTAATAATTCTGTGGTATCTTCCATGAAATAAACAGCATTTGCTCAAAATCTGCTTACAAGTAGCTTGTTTTTAACCACTGCTACTATTATGTACACAAGTGATATTAGAGACACAATGCCACCTGCTGGTCTAGGAGTTCCATGCATTGCTTGCTCAAAGTTTTGCTGTTAAAAAGCCATCATCTACGCCATTACCATCCCACACACTCTACCTTTCTAACACACAACAACATCCTAGATAGCTGATATAGGTTTTTTTTTGTTTGTTTTTTGTTTTTTTTTTTTGTTTTTAAAATCTTACCAATCAAGATACATACTATACACCAGCAGATGTACACAGCTTAATACATGAGACAAAACCTAATTATCAAAACAGACAACTCAATTACTTAACATGCAAAATTCACCTGTGAAATGAAAGCCACTTGACTCCTTCACATAGTACAACTCCTGATGTCATAAGCAGTTCTGCAAAGTATTGCGTCTCAATTCCTTCTTCCTCGTGCTTTTTAAACTGGATACCAGATGTTGTTAACAGTTCAATAGAGTCCTGTGCATACATATCTTCTCTAAAAGCAGAGAGAAAAACATTTTTACAATCTACAGACCTCACTGATTATAAATTAGGTAATCTTTTTCCCCCCTATTCGTTACAAAGACATTACTAGCAATATAGGAGTAGCAACTTGAATTTGTTCCGTGTTTGTTATTAAAATGACCACTTTTCATAGCTTTTGTTAACTTTCATTAGTAGTTCATGATTCCTAGCACCTCCATTCCAGTCTCCTTTACAAAAGTCTACTTCCTGTTCCTCCCTTTTTGCAGACTCTACAGAAGAAAGTACATGTAAGGATAGTTACCTTACAGTTTAAGGTAACGATCCTGTTCAGTAACAAAACAGTTGGACCATTGACACCTGTTACATTATAGAATTAATATCAATAACCAAATTCCAGTGCTGTATTTGTTCTGCGCTTTTCATCCACTTCTTGCTATCTATAATTTAAGCTTGCTCGTGAATATTCAGATACATGCTCATCAAAACCCCTCATTACAATTAGAAATTCAGCACTTGCCCCATTAAGTCAACTCCTGAAATCCAGACAGTCTACCATTCTGTTCTAAATCATCAACTTCTCTTTAAGAGTCAGATTTTGAACCTACAATTTAACAAGGAGGGAAAAAAAAAATCCAATATGCCTTACTTGATCCCGTTTATCTCTGCATTTGTTCCATTTACCACCCTCAATTTTGTGAGTATTTCGTTACAAAATACCAAAGTGGATAAAAAGTATCATCTGAAGTATAATTTTCAAAATCATTGGACTATATAGAGCAGTTATTGGAAAAAAAAAAATGCAAAGCTGGCTCTACTTAGGTATTATTTACATTACTGTCTATAACATTGTTTTACAAAGTCTCTTCACCATATAGTTTTCCATTTTCATGGGGGAAAAGACCTCAAGAAATAAAACTGATACGACGATCCAACTGGACTACTAGGTTCAGCTGCAGACTTATATTTCTTATTCCTAATAGCAAGTCATAACTCATCAAGAGAGAAATACATTCTCAGGACATGCTGTATCTTTTTTTCCTTCTCTCCCACACAGCTGCTCATTAGTTCTCCAACTTTAAGGCATCAGCTTCCCAACACCTGTCCATTTCCATAACACATTAAAGAACCTATGCAAAACAGACATGCCTATCATGCTCAAAATAAATAAAAGTTCATTCCAGTTTGTTCCTCTGCAGGTGGATAGTTAGCCTATAGAATCAATTATGCTCCTTAAAAATATACAGTAATAGGAAATGGTTGGAATAACAAAACAAAAAAACAAAAACAAAACCAACCTAAACCTTCTTCTAGGAAAAGTGAACAGTTGCTTTGCTTCAGAAGCAGAACACTTGGAACAGTGCCACTTCCCAAAAAGTAAGCTTAGGAACACACACACGCACAAACGCACATTTTGGCATCCCTATTCAAAATGTTCATGTTTCATGTAGCACTCATTTCATTCTGTATAAAACCTCCCCACCCCCAATGAACTAGCAACAAGTCTGTTGAATGACATCCTAGATACTACTTTACTAAGCCTTCTTATCTATGCAGTATCTGAAACAAATGAATGGAAAACTACTTTTGTTTTCAGCTGCTTGATATTAGCAGACCTTAGAAACTGAATAAAACATAACCCAGGTTCTTCTTCCCAGTTTGAAAGTTATTAATTCATCCCTCTTCCTCTTTCTACTGCACTCAGCATCTTCAGCACGTTCTTCTAACAGATATCTTCCATTCAGCACTCATACAGCCAAGTTTAGATATACCAAAATATCAAATCTGCACTTCCTTTTCTTTCAAGTGATGTTTCAAACATCTTTAATCTTTTTAAACTTTAAAAGTTTAAAAAGAGAGTGTCAGTCCTCAGACTAAACTTATTTGTGACAAGCATTGCTTGTTTAGAAAAGTAGAAAGATTAAGAGGGACAGCAGCAGATTTCCTTCATAAGAATCACAATTACTTTAATTATATAAATAAACTGGGGAAAAAAAAACCCACAAAGGCTTGTTCTTCGGGCTTCCTTCGTAGGCTGCAATTTTAACTCATGCAGTCGAGTGTTTCAATGATCAGCCCAAAGCCCCCAACCCTTCAACAAATTTAAATTCGATAAGTGCCTGCTCTAATATTTTTATCAGGCCATATGAGAACCTGTCAGACCAATTATGTCTACTTATGGAAAACGTCAAGATGGGGTCATAGCTGCTTTAGTAACCTTGTCAAGTACTGCCAGATGTAATCAGAACCTTATTTAGGCATCTCAGCCCACTGGGCAAGTCACATTCATACTTAAAGGCTTACCACTAATACAAAATATGTTCTGAAACGAAGGCCAAAACACAGACCACAACAAAACAGCTTGCATTTTTTAACAACATATTAACAAGAAGAATCCAGAACCAAAATCTCTGCAAGACAGACTACACTGAAATAACGGAATAAAGCACGTATGTTTAGTTAACACAAGTCCCCCTCACATAAAGGATTCCAATTAATAGATTAAAAATATTTGTTTTAACTTTTACAATCTAAATTTTCATTAAATCACAAACATAAATCCAACAGTATAGAGATGTGAGACTCACGTTAAATTAAATTTAAAATTAAATTGCCAAGTTGAAGTTCCTGGAGGGTATTCCCCTTGCTCATTCATAAACGTCAGTCCTAGTTGAATTATTTTTAGCAAATCTACATTGCAGCGTAATAATTGGTATTGATAGTCTGCATTGCTTCTGAATTCTCCAATAGGCCTTGCAACTACTCCTGGAAATTCTGTATCCTGTAAAGAGAAAAGCATAACTTTAGTAGGAGACATCTATAAAACTTCACACACTTCCTGTTTTTAATAAAACATTTCAAGCATCAAAAAATTCCATAGCTGAGGAATGCTGTGCACAAACACAGCTTTAAACACAATAACGGATGGTGGTATTAATGTTTATGCATTAAGAACCCACTTTTTTTTTCCCTATAAATGTGGAAAAATAATGTTACTAGCATCAATTTCACTAACATCAGAAAAGATCATCACGCTTTTTTTTTTTTTTTTTTACAAGAAAAATTGATGCTAGTAAAATCATCAAATGCTATTATCAACAAGATTTTACAAGTTTTTAGATAAACATCAAATGTTTACTTACCATAGCTACATAGTTATACTTCCGTATAACTTGACGAATTTTCTTCATCTCTTCATCCAAGTTACAAGCCCAGACCTCACAGATTCTTTGGCTATGGTCAACGGTAGCTGCTGGCATAGTGGGGGGCTTTAGAGACCATACATCAAAAGTTACACTTGACTGAGGATCAGTTTCATAAAGAGAACCTTACTTTTCTTTTTTACCTAAGAGACAAATAAAGTATTAAGTTTTCATTTGTCAGTTATCTAGAAAAGATGCTTTAAGAGCAGGTACAAGCTTCACCCTTCAAAGCAGAGCCACCAGAACCACGCGCGTTTCAGTTACGTGAGTTTCTCAACCAAAATAAAACCCTCAGCGTTCCGCTGGTAACTGTACTTGGTGCAAAAAGCCAGGTCCGCCGGCAAGCAGTACAGCGAATCAAAAGGACACCCGGGCCCACAAGCGGGTCAGAGGAACGCGCTCCTTCGGGCTCCACGGCTGCGCGTGGCATAAAGCAAAGCGGCAAAGCGCCTCCCAGCGTTCCGCCGCGTCCGAGAGCCGCCGAGTACCAACGGGCGGTCGGTCGGGGCGCAGCACGGAGCAGAGATGACGCTTTTCGATCTCGGGGGCACGAAGCGAGCCCACCTGGTCCCGAGCGCGGTACCGGGCACCGCGGGACGCGCACGGACACGGCCCCGCCGCTCTCCCAGAAGCGTCCCCAGGGAGCCGAGGCCTTCCACGCACCCCGAGCAGTCTCCAAGCCCTTTCCCCGCAACAGAACGCCACGACGCCCTCCGCGCCCGCCCGTCCGGCCGCTCCCCCGCCCCCTCGGGACAGGCGCACCCCCAGAAGGCCGCGCGGACTCCCCGACGCCTCCTCCGCCCCCGGGCCGCCTCGGAGCCGCAGCCCCACCGCGTCCTCGGGCCGAGGCCTAGCGGGGCGCGGCTCCGGGAGAGAACGGCGGGGCGCGGCCCCCCCGTCGCTGCCACCCGCCCCTCACTCACGCGCTGGGCCGCGGGGGGGCCGGGCCAGGTCCTACGAGGCCCCCGCGGCCCCCGCCGCCCCGGAGCCGCGAGTGGGCGCGCAACACGCAGAGAGCGCAGCGCCCGCCGCACAAAGCCATTACATCATCGCCGCGCGCCACCTCGCGACCTTTCCCCCCATCGCCTCACCCGCCGCGCCGCCGCCCTCCCGCGCCGCCGCTCGCGGGGCCGCCAATCGCCGTCGGCTCCGCCCCGCTCCCTCCTCGCCCCGCCCTCCCTCTCTGACGGAGCGGCGCGCGGCGATGACGCGACTGGCGCGCGGCCGCGGAAGTAGGGGGGGGAGGAGGCGGCGGCGAGGTGCGCGTGCGCGCGCGGAGGCCGGGCCGAGGTTCTACCGGTGTCCGGCCACCCGTCGGGCCGCGGCGCGGCCATGAACTGGCTGTTTCCTCTCGGTAAGGGCGGCGGCGCCTCCTCGTCCGCCGCGCCGCTGCCCGCCCTCACCAGTCTCCAGCAGCAGAAGCAGCGGCAGATTGAGTCCCTGCGCGGTGCGCACGCCTCGTGAGTGGCCGCGGCCGGGTCGGGCGCCCCGTCTGGGCCTGGGCGTGACTTCGCCCCCGGAGGGCCCTCCCGCCGACCCCGGGCTGGGTTCGGGCCGAGATGGGACCCGTCTGTGTGAAGCCCTGACGGGTCCTGCCGGCCCTCGGCCTGCCCGGGGCGGGAGAGCGGAGCGGCTCTGCGGGACGCGGCCGGGGGGCGGGGGGAGCTTCCTGGGAACGGGTTAGAGGAACGTGCTTGTTGGAAGCGAAGGATGAAACATCCGGTGTAAAGGTTCTGTCGCTCAAGCAGCAGCGGCACGGCAGCCCTGCTGGCCTTGAGAGCTGCTCTGCTGGGAGGCACGGCTTTTCTTCGTTGAGAACGGACTGTACGAGAGACTTGTTTTCCCTGGATGCTCACCGCAGATATAGGCAGGGTTTTCTCCTGTTCAACAGCCACAATTTTACAGCACTAGACCTTTCTTCGTTCTGAGAAATTTCTGATGGCAGAACTGCTAATCAGTTTCACGTGTTCTTGATCTGCTAACTATGCTCGTCTCCTTTTGCAAAGATATCCACGCTTCAGATCTCTCCATTTCAGTGACCATGTAAGCAGTCATCGAGCTTCTGAGGAAGCCGGTCCCCTCTGAAATGGTTTGATAGCAATCTCCAAAAACTATCTATAAAAAGGAAAGAGAATGTTTTGTGTTGTGTTCATCTGACACCAAGGGCCTGCTTGTGGTTGTAGACTTACTTAGGTGCAAACAACTCTACTGTGAGTTAGCACATGGGAAGCACAAGTATGAAAATACTGCTTATTGCTGCTGTTGCTTGAACTGAAGTGTGTTCAGAGCCAGTTTCACAAATATTTTGGAAAGATGGCTCACTCCTCTAAGAAGTTTTCTCTTGGGTATGCAACACCTTACTGAACTAGATGTTTTTGTTGGGCCCGCCTTACCGAGTCCTATATTCCTGCTCTTTTTGTTGTAGTACAGAGAAGCTCACCTAAAGTTATTATTATTAAAAAACAAAACAAACAAACAAAAAAACCAACAACAGTTTTCTTGTATTTGCTGTATTAGCCAGAATTAAGAATGTGGTTTTTCATGTGCACGCATTTCCACTTGGGAAAGAAACAATTCACTTTATTGGTTGAAGACTTTGCTTGCAGAAGGTGTCAGCTCAGTCAGGTCATTTGTTTTTTGTCTCCTGCTTCTACTCTCCGTCCCCAGTTCCAATAGACTGTGCAAGTGAGGGGAGCACATTTATATACTCATCTGAAGACAATCTTGTGTCTGGCTGTTAAGGTGCTGACATACCAGTGTCTTAAGGGTAGGAATGTGTGAGAGATTACAGTGAGAATCCTTCAGTTAAGAAGGAAGAATGGTGATTCCTGTGCATGAAGTACCAGAGGAGACCCTTCAACTCTTGTTTGTTTGGTTCTGATGTATGATGGTTTCCTCAAAAAGCATGAGTTATCACAGAGAGAGAGAGTGGATACTGAGTTTCTTGAGAGAGGGATAAAGTCAGGCTGGGGGACATGTAATGTGTAGCTGGATTTGTAACTTACTCTCTTTATTCCTGAAGCTCTGAAAGCTAGAGTTGTAAATTACATGTGCAAATGATGCTTTGGATAGATAGGAAACATGCCTAACACTGTAATAACAGATTTGCAGATAATAGTGGTTGTTTTTTTTTTTTTTTTTTTTTGGGGGGGGGGGGGGGAGGGAGAAGTAATTGTACAGATTGTATCTGGCAGAGAATGCAGGGGTATTTCTGAAATTGGGTGCAAAGAGGCTTTTAAGCAGCACCCAGCTGTGATTATTACCAATCCTAGCTGTGTTCCCTCTGCTTACATGGGAGCTTATGTCAGAGGAGTATATTAGTAACCATTTGAAGGCGGGAAACGTGGCAGAGGAAGTGGTCTGCTTGAAAGCTTTGTTTTGACTGAGGGATTGTATGAGGCTGATTTTCTATCCCTTCTTTAAAGCAGGATCTCAGCCTAGGTACGTTTATGTTGTCAGGTAATTATGCATCCAAGCAAAATCTCCTTCTTGCATTCTTTGGGATGCCATCTTTCAAAACACTTTTGCTATGTGTAAAATCATGGAGTGTTTTGAATGTTGAAATTGCCTTTCTACTAATGCAGCTGATTTTAAAGATTTTCTCAGAAGGAGCACATTTCAATTCAGTTTCATAAGTTTTTGTGAGAAGTTTTTTCACTTGATGGTTTCAGGGAGTCTGTCTCTTGATTATCCCTGGATTAGGGCCTTCAATTCTTGGCAAGTAGCTTTTCTCCAGGTAAAAGTTCTTGAAAATATCAGTGTAAGTGCACAGGACTTGGTGTATGCAGACAAAAATATACCTATTAAATAATTTATTATCGTGTTAAGAAAGCAGCCAGTGTTATTTGTGCTTTATACACTGCTTTGTAGGCAAGATGGCAATACCTTGTTGTGCATGGGATGCAAAATAAGTTGGGAGTGTTGATAGATCGCCATTGCTCTGCCTGTATTAGTACTGCTTCTGATAATGCTGAGGTTTGAAGTTTTTTCCTTAATCTTCAGTATTTCATTATAGTATCCTAAAGCATATTAACTTATTCCAGTGTTTTCAGTTTTATTCTTAAAAGGCTTTCAAACGAAACAGAAAATATCTCAGGTTTTGCCTGTTTTTAGAGAATAGGTACCAAGGCTGTCATACTGGACATCAATTGGATACTAAAAATTTCTTTTTTGACAGCATTGCAGAAATTCAGAAAGATGTGGAATATCGACTGCCATTCACTGTAAACAACTTGACAATTAATATTAACATGTAAGTAAGGTGGGATATCTCTAAATGCATGTCTTAAACATTATAATTTTCTCATCAAAAGTAGTAATGGAACATAAGTAGGTCCATCTGATATCTAATTGCAGGAACTGTTGCCCCAATTTGCCTTCATAGTCTTGGCAATCTGACTGAAACTAGCTCTGTCCATGATGCAGATGCTCAGGTCAAAGAGTAATTATATTTTGCCATGCTCAGTTCCTAAGATATCTGCATATTTTTAACTGAAGGTGAGCAGTGGAAAACTCTGAGGATTTCTGAGTCTTTGAGTCCCTGACAGGTGAAAGCAAATGCTAACTGACTGATCCGATGTCAACTTGTGGTATCAGCTTTTACCACAGTGAAGCTTTTGGATAATGGTTTGAAAGTGATTTGTTGTAATATACCCTGTGAATTTGTTTGTGGTGAGGGGGTGCTTCTGCTTTGGTAAATGTTGATAACATTCAATTCTCAAGTTTTTTTTTTTTATTACTCAGCCCCACAGTTTTGCTGACTTACCTGCAAAGTTATGCTGAGTACTTTACTTTAGAGTAATACAATTTGTATGAAAGTATTCTCAACACATTATAGGTTTTTCTTTGTCGGTGGACATAATTGCATCACTCTTCCTACAGTTCTTCTCAGTAAATGCTCTCCTGTTCCATCAAAATGTAGTATTCTAATCTCTGTGAAGTTTCATTACTGAGTTCTGATTTTGTAACTGAATAATTTTCTCTTGTACTCCATGGTGTATCTCCATAACGGTTTTCATAGAAGAGTATGGTTATGTGAGCTACTGTGCTTTTGCTTTGCATAAGAAGCCTTCTTGAAGCACACTTTATGGGATGTATTAACAATTATTCTTGTATTTACAGCTTGCTTCCACCTCAATTTCCTCAGGAAAAACCAGTCATCAGTGTTTTCCCACCTGTGAGACATCATCTAATGGACAAGCAGGGAGTATATGTGACTGGTCCACTAATAAACAATGTATGTATAGTTTGTATTTCCACAAATATATATTAATAGCAATTCTAGTGCATCGTGGTAGATTATTGACAGTACTTGTGTTGGTTTGGTTTTTTCAAAAAGACTAATGCTGATGTTAATCCTTCTCATGTTTTTGGTTTGAAAACAGATTCAGTACTGTTCAGTATACTGTTCATTCTGTTCTTACTGCTATTAATGAGTTCAGTATTCCACAGAGTTAAAATTAAGGTAGCTTAGAAAGTTCCTGTCTCTTCTTGTTAGTGCTGATAGCACAGTTCATGTTTCTCTATAGTGAATCACAAATTAGTAAGAAAGATGTTTTTAGACTGTTCTGTTACCTACTTCTTTCAACCCTAATCCTCTTAGAAGAATTATTGAATTTTTGCCCTAATAAGCAGGACTTTCATATGCTGTTCTTTTTTTTTCCTCCCCTCCCCCCCCAAAATGGTATTGTTGGGGGAGGGGTCCAGTTTTGTTTTGTTAGAGTGACATTTCCTGAATGGTGCAACGAATTATGTGTTTGATCTCTTAGGTAAATCTTTTGGGCTCGTTAATTAAGTTTTCATTGTTCATCAGAAATTTTGTACTTAATTGATTCTCTATTGACAATGGAATATGCAAAAAAGGTTTTTCAACTTTCTGTTTCTGTTCTGAACGGCTTTGCTACTTAAAGCATTTGGATGTTGTGCATAAGCAATTTACAGCAGACAATGCATTTCTGAAATGCATTCTGAAGCTGCCATGTGGGCATAGTGAATGTTCATGCTCATTGTATTTTTTAACTGCTAGACTACAGGAATATTTTTTTCTTCTGTATCCAGCTT